CATCGAAAAGGAACTCTGCTGGGTCGATGACCCAGTCTGATCGTGGCCTGCGTGCTTTGACACTGCTAGCTCGGCTAGCACGCCTCAGACTTGAAGGAGGAGAGACGGCAAGATGATCAGGTTCGTCTACCTCTGCACGCGGCGTAGCATCTTTGCAATTATGAAACGATGGAAGCCGCAGACATTCAAGGGGACCGTGCGGCTGCTGGCTGTGTTCAGCTTGCACCGAATCAACCCACTGATGTACCTTCTCCGTATCGTACCACCCCGCTGCCTCCGTGTCTATTGCACATCGCTCACGGAATCTCACTTTGCGATTGCGAATACACTGAAGAGGATTGTAGACCCGGTGTGATGTAAAGCCACTGCTATGCACAGATGTTGAGTCGGTATTTTGATCGTCAATCGGCTGCAGAGGAGGAAGGGAAGGGAGTAGTCGGAGATATTCCGAAAATAGCTCAAAATGGCGACGAGCTTTTTCAGCTCGAGCAAGTGTGCTCTCTGAGAAGCCCTGCGGCAAGGGTTCCGATCCAGCGGAATGTGGAAGTAAACTTGCCACTGAAGATGGCGCATGTGTCGACGGTCCGCCCAGTTGACTGGAGTCGACTATTCTGGTATGATCTTCACCCTGTGCTTGTGTGACACTCTGGCCATGTTGAGAGCTGCCATGCCCCAGGTCGGTTACTGGAACCGACGCATGTCTACCAGTGTATGGAGCGGATGTTTGACCACCTGCCAAAGCCCATCTACCTCCCGAAAGACGAGTTGAAGCAGAGCGACCCAGACTATTCCTTTTCCTTGACTCGCTGAGATTCAAGGCAAGATTCACTATCTGGAGCGAATCCCTATCAAGACCTACGGTGTCCTGATTGTCCGTCTGCTTGGTATGCGACTCCTGCGAAGCCACATCCTGCTCCAGATTTGATGAAGCAGCAGTCTCCTCCGCTGTTGTGGGTTCCGTATGCTCCGTATGTTTGATATGCTCTGCCTGGTCTACTTGGGATACCTTCTGCTCTTTATGCCGAATCCAAGGGAATCGTGATCGCTTCTTCGGAACTACCAGTTCAGGTTCGGGTGCTTCACGCTTCTCCTTGCGGCTGGATTCTGAGCGGCGAGGGAGGTATTGGCTTGCACGCAAGCTTTTCGACCTGGGTAGAAAAGATGAATCGACTAGGAAGCCGCCGGAGCTGGCCGTTCGGCGTTGGGCCCGGCCTCCTTTATCGCCATCCCGAGAGCTGCTACCGAGAGTGCTGCCCTCTAGCTCCCCGCTCGCTCGTCCCTCGTTCATGTGCGCGCCCCTTTGTCGGTCGGAGTTATCATTAGATGTATTGTAGCGTGTGTGGTAATCTGGCTGTGTCTCATCGGTCTCGGGCATAGGAGGTGTAGGTGGATAGGATTCATTGGTCTTCGGCGACATCAAAGCTATGGTGACGAAGTGGTCCGTCCCGCGGGATAGGAAAGGGGGCAACGTCCACGAGGAAAGGCCGACATGGAGATATGCGAGAAATCGCTAGAATTCAGTCATGGCTCCTGAAGAAAAACAACCATCTAGGAAAGCTAATCTGGACACCCCCTCGTCCTCGTCGTCCAGATGTGGTCTGACGATCGCTACTTCATCAGTAGGCAGCAGGTGCATCATGCGCCGCGGCCCACGTGGAACTGCAAACACAGCAAACAATCCCCATCAATATTAAGCATTCCCCAGACTTGATTATCAACTCTATCAGATAGCTGACAAGATGCTCCACTCCACACATACATGGTGCAGCAGTGTGATTCTTTAACAAAACAGTGCTTAAAGCTTCCAACTAGTATACAATATACAAAGGAAAATATCTAGCATTGACTCTAACAACGCAGGCGGACAACTAGAGGTACAAGTCCTGTAGATAGGAGGCATGAGGTACAAGAAAGCTAAAATGATGTCGGGAGAATTATTCTCTACTCAACCCTCAAACATTGTAAACGCGCCTCGGTTTCAATCACCTGTAGATAGAATATGTCAGTTCGATATCATTTAGACGGACAGGAACTTTTAGGCGGAATCCTTACCTCCAGAGCTTGCTTAACTTCCAACACTCTGCGAACATCCACAAGCCAGTCCTTGCTCAGAATCTTGGCCCATCCCGAAAGACTGTTCATCTCACGAGCTGCAGCATCGAGGTTTCCTTCTTCCAGAAGGCTCTCGGTCCGGTACAGCACACTCTCCACATCGTCGCTGCCGGCAACAGCATCCTTCTTGAACATGACCTTGCTCAGAACAACGCTGGCAGCGTGGCTAGCGATACCTGCATCTTCGGGCAGAAGGCTGGCCTTGCGCACCTCATCAGCGACACGACGGAAGCGCTCAATGATCTGAGAGGTCGAAGGGATTCCACGCTGGTAAGCAGCAGGGTTAATAGAAGAGATGGCTGCCTCAACAACGGGGTCCTCAGCGGCCAATTCCTTCACGGCGACAAGCTCGCGGACGAAGGGGCGAGGAACGGCAGAGCGATCAACAACGGAGCGCACGGCATCAACAGCCACCTGGAGTTGTTGGGTCCTGAGGTTGCTGTCAATGACCTCTCTCCAGCCAGAGGTCAGCTTCTCCAGCTCGCTGACATTGGCGGTGAGTTCGTTCAACTTGCTGAGACGGCCTTCGCGTTCACGCTCCACGAGCTCCTTGACTTCGTGCAGGTACTTGCGGTTAAGCTCAATGGCTTGCTCAACCAGCTCGTTCTTGAGGCGCTGTTCGGCCACCTCCTGAGCCCTCTGCAATTCGGTTCTGATCTTCTCCTGGTAGGCATGGGCCAACTTTTCACGCTCAGCCTCAAACTCCTCACGGTACTGGGCGGCATCGGCGGCACGCATTTCGTCAAAACGGCGGATGAGCTCGCGAGCAGACTCATCGAAAGTAGCATGGGCCTGTTGAATCTCCTCCTGAGCGGCACGACGGGCCTCCTCGCGAACAGCGATGATCTTCTCTCCAACCTTCTGGAGTTCCTCCTTAGCCTTGGCCACGGGCTGAGAGTACTTGCCGGAGTTCTCATCAGCGCTAATGACGGTAATCATGTCGTTGAACGTCTTCACCAGCTCCTGGACGATCGCTTCATCTCCCTCGTTGACCTGGGCAAACTCGAGAGGGGTAACAGCAGGAATGGCCGGTTGTCTGGGTTCCTCCTTCTTTTCAGCAACCTTGGCGGCCTTCTCCTCCTTGGCCTTCACTACAGCTGTGGTCTTGTCCTCGGGCTTAGCGGCGGCGGGCTTGGTTTGCGCTTCGGAGCTCTTCTGAGCCGGAGCAGCACTCATGTGGGGGCCCTTCTGGGAAACATCTGCTCCCGAAGTCTCCTCCTCGGCGACCTTCGAGGTAAGTCCGCTCTTGCTTGGGATGGTGATCTTGTTTCCCTCATCCCTTGGGGTCGGGTTAAGGCGGTTCTGGTTTCTCAAAGTGTTGGGGAATCGACGGTAGAAGTCACGCTCTTCGAAGTAAAGAACACTCTCCTCACCATAGGGAATGTATTCGGTAAAGAAATCGTGGAAGTTATCGAACTTCAAAGCCAGGAAAACGCCGCCACCGTATGCGAATCCGGAGGTAAGCAGCAGGTAGAGAAGGAATCTGCGGAAGCGTCCACCCTTAGGAGCTGGGGTAGGAGGAGTAGAGGGAGGGAGAGTGGACTCTGTCGTACATCAGCACTGGGGAAGCTTGCGACTCAACTGATCATAGCATTCGTACCTTGTCCGGTGGATGATGGCTTAGGGACGGTCTCTGGGGGAACAGCAGACTCGGAAGACGGAGTAGCGGGCGTAGGAGCAGCGGTGGTAGGGGGCTTAATATCGGCGAAGAACCTCTGCAGAGAATTGAGACGAGATTAGTTAGGATGTCTATGACTCGACTGCGGATGCCGTCACCGTACCTGACCTGAAAGCCGGCTGCTTGCTCCGGCTCTGGACAGCCATTGGGAGGCGGTCCGCTGACGAGCGGAGGACAGCAGCAACTGTCGTCCCGGTGCAACAGAAGAGCGCAGCATCATGGGCCGCACTACCATGGAGATGAGCGCTGAGAGCTGGCTTAGTTGAGGGGTTGGTGTTGATGGGAGTGAAAACGCGGACCGGAATTGGGATAGGTGCTTTTACGATCCGCTCCGATCCTGCACCGCCAAAGAGTGGCTCAGCTCGGGTCACTTCGCACCGCCCGCGCCGGCTGTCCGGATAGACCGAGCTAGCTGTCTTATCCAATGCTGCAGGACATTATCTTGTCCACCAACTAGCTTTGTATCAATTGTAATAACTAGTTATTTTATGTTATGAATTTTATCTGATTTCCGCGTCTACAAGTTTCACCATGCTTCACTCACCCACCATGTTTCTGTCACTGGAATTAGTAGATGGCTAGTTCAGATCCGATGACTGAAGGTGAAGTATTATATAGGCATAGCATACTGAGAGTCTCAGGAAGAACGACAAAGAAAAGTAAGAAATTGACATGAATTCAACCCATTCAGAAAGATACAGACGCCAGGAACGAGGAAGCAGAGACACAGAGAACAACGCGGAACAAAGAAATCATAGGTCCATCCCTGTGGCATAATGTCTAGACAGTCAAATCCAACCGTGCCAGTACAGTATTAAGCTCTCCCTCCACATCCAATGACGGTATTTGAAAATCTTCGTCTTGTCAAACCAGTGTGCAGTGAGAAAGACTGATGATGACTGGATAGATCATCATGTTCAAATCCGTGGGAATGATTGAATCCCCTGGGAAGCAAGAGACACCTATACGACGCCGGTCGGCCAAAGTTGCAGTAATCACGGCACCATTAGAGAGCCATAAAACAGTCTTGTTCAAAGTCGCTGACGGGTTGCACACTGTTGCCCAGCGTGCCGGTTCACAGTCAAGCTAGAAGACACACGTCTCCTGCATCTAACAATAGCCCATGCGAAAGGAGGAAAGGAGAAAGAAAGGTGGATTAGATCGAGAACTCGACACACAACAGTTAGTTAGTATACGCCATTTGGAAAGCCTAGCAATTGCAGGAACCGGCACCCTGGGTACCGGGTGCTTCAGGCCGCAGATCGACACCAGGACGGGGAGTTGTGCGCAAGTTTCGAGGACCTGCCTGGTCAAGAGGGAGCTTCTTCGCGATTGCTGTAAATAGTTCCTTAACGTTCGAAGAGGTCTTTGCAGATGTCTCGAAAAATAGAAGACCAGCTTCACGTGCATAGGCTTCGGCGTCAGCCGTAGGAATGGCCCTCTTGTCCGGGCTCTCCGTCACGAGATCGAGCTTGTTTCCTGCAAGGGCGATGACAATATTCTCGTTTGCCTGACGCTGCAATTCCTTCACCCATGACTTGGCCTTGTCCAGCGACGACTGCTCAACGTTACGATTAATTAGTTACCGTAGGAATGGAGGGGGTCGAGCCGGGAACCATACAGCCTGAGTGATATCGTACACAACGACCGCGCAGTTTGCGTTCCTGTAATACATGGGAGCCAGAGACTTGTATCTCTCCTGGCCGGCTGTATCCCATATCTCGAACTTGACTGTCGTACTTTCGTCCAGGGAGATGGTTTGTGTGAGGAAGGCGGCGCCAATGGTCGACTCGCGGTAATCATCGAATTGATCCTATGCAGTGTTAGCCCCAGTAAGTCATCCGGAAGGTGGTTCCCTTGTAGAAAAATTTCCGGAAATATGGACAACTTATCCCACCTTGACGAATCTCAGTACTAGCGAACTCTGTGGAGCAAGATAGTCAGCGACCGCTATTTAGGACCCTGAAAATTACAAAATCCCAACCTTTCCGACTGCGGACTCTCCTACATAGGGCGAACGAAAACAACATGTCAGTACTTTTGACGCATACTATAGTGGGGCCAATAACAGGGGGAGACCAACCCAGCAATACAAGCTTGAACTGAGCGAACCTGGCCCCGGGACGGGCGCCTGCTGCGGCTCTGGAGGCCATAGTCGATATGGTCGAAAGAACAACTTTCACGAGAAAAAGTCAAGAGAGAATAGCGCCGACGATATAAGCACAAAGGGGGGAGAGCTGGATGAGGTGGATAGATCGAGATGAAGGGAGGAAACAAGTATTGGAGGCGGACTCGGGATGCTGGGAGGTTTGATGGCGGCCTGTCGGTGGTAGATGACGAAGGGATTCAGCCACACCTGGCCCAAGCCGACTGGCCGTTCTGCGGGGCGGTGTGGCGGCCCTGGCCGATTCCGTCCGCGCCAGCCTTGCTTATCACCACCAGCACATGCTGGCACAACGAGGTGCTGTGAGGTACCTCCGTTTCTCTTGCTCCCGAGCCTCCCTGGAGATCATCCCGGGGTTCCCTGAAATTACGTCTCTGCCTGTTGTTCATTCGTGCCTCTCACCTTCCGTTCCCTTTCACTCTTCCCCCATCTCTCTTGCGCAATATGCGCTGAATTTTTCCAACACACTCTTTCACCCTCCCCTGATCTATACTTCTTTTTTTAGTATCTCTCCCTTCTTCTGAGCTTCTTCATCCCACGTAGTGGGTAATCGCCCAACAATGGCTGCCTCCGTTCTTCCGTTTCGCGACATCAATTTGCACGCTGCCTCCTCTCATTATGCCTTCACTTCACCCTCATCCCCTAATGCCCCGACACTTGTTGTCGAGCGTCCGACCGGCGACTTGCGCCTCAGTAACGGCACCCTCTCCGGAGCCAAGCGCATCTCCAGTATTGCAGGCATTCTGGGTATTATCAAACTGAAGCTCGGTGAGTCCATGTTAATATCCCCTCTTTTCCGTCTGCAGTACACGCCATACTAATTTGATTAGATAAATACATTATAGTCATCACCAAGGCCCTGCCCGTGGGGCGCCTACGCGGCCACATGGTCTATAAGGTTGCGGCGACCGAGTTCTTGCCTCTGCGTGAGCGCTCTCTGCACGACTATGATGAAGATACCTATCTGGCACTGTTGAAGGAGCTGCTCCGTACGGGACCTATGTACTTTTCCTACGCTCTGGATATCACCAATAGCTTCCAACGTCAGTCGCAAACCGACCCCAACCTTCCTATGTGGAAACGAGCCGATGATCGATTTTTCTGGAACCGTTTCATTCAGTCCGACTTGATTGACTTCAGTCTGGGAGAACATGATGTTACCGGGGTGCGCTACGGACCACAACCTGGAGTTGACCCGTATATTCTGCCTGTTATGTTCGGAATGCTTCGCATCACGCCCGCAAAAGTCAAGTCCACTTCTTTCACATTTGCTCTTATAACCAGGAGATCTAGGTACCGTGGTGGGACAAGGTATTTCTCCCGCGGTATCGATGATCAAGGCCACGTGTCCAACTACAATGAGACTGAGCAGATTGTTATACTTAATGATGCGACGGGGGGTCTCTCTGGATTCTCTGGAGGCCAGTCCCTAGCAAAGGACAAATTGGGTGGCTCAGCGCAGGACCTTCAGGTCATGGCGTTTGTACAGACCAGAGGAAGTGTGCCCGTATACTGGGCCGAAGTCAACAACCTAAAGTACACACCGAAGCTGCAGGTCCGTGGGGTTGAAACTGCCGTCGATGCTGCTCGTAAGCATTTCGCTGAGCAGATCCGTGTCTATGGCGAGAACTACCTGGTCAACCTTGTGAACCAGAAAGGCAGGGAAGAGCGTGTGAAGACTGCCTACGAACAGCTGGTTCGCATTCTTGTGTCGTCCTCTACCGATAGCACCGAAGCGGATGAAATAACGTCGGAGAAGGTGCACGCGGTGGAGCCCGGGCTCAGGCAGAAAGAGTTGGACCGACTCCACTACGTATATTTCGACTTTCACAATGAGACTAAGGGTCTCAAGTGGCATCGTGCGGAGTTGCTGCTGGAACGGCTCATGGACGGTCTAACACGAGGCGGTTATTTCCGTGGAGTAGAAAATCCGGGTGCTCCTGGTGGTCAATTAGATACACGCTCCGCGCAGTCTAGCGTCGTCCGGACGAATTGCATGGACTGTCTGGATCGTACAAATGTCGTTCAGAGTATGCTGGGACGTTGGGCTATAACACGCCAGCTCGTTGACGCAGGAGTTTTACAGCCTGGAGAAGCAGCGAATGATGACCGCGACTTCGAAAACCTATTCCGTAACATCTGGGCAGACAATGCTGATGTTGTGTCCAAGGCCTATTCCGGTACTGGAGCGTTGAAGACCGATTTCACCCGGACTGGCGAGCGCACTCGCGCTGGTATGCTGCAAGACCTGAACAACTCTATCACACGATATGTACGGAACAACTTCATGGATGGTCCTCGACAAGATGGGTTCGATGTCTTCCTGGGCACCTATCTTCCCCCGAACTCCACCCTTGGCAACATTCAGCTCTTCCTGGATCGTCGACCACTCATCATCCAGTCTGTTCCGTATATCTTTGCTGCTGGAGTCTTCTTGATCACGGTAGCCGCCTTCACGAGACGCTTGCCCGACTCCACCGTGTGGCCTCTGCGCTTATTTGTTCTTTTCTGGTTCATCGTCAGCGCCTGGTGTGCACGTTTTATCCTTGCTCACGGAATGCTCTATGTAAGACTTATTGTCCTCCCTGCTATGTCCACATACTGACCCCACGAAACAGGTAAACTGGCCAAAATTGAACACACCTACAGCTGGCTCTGAGGGGTATCAAGATGCGCTCATAAAGGCTCGGTCTGATCCTATAGTCGGCCAACTACTCCCTGCGAGGAGGCACCAGAGAGGGTACAGCAATGCCCGGCTGGTGTTCCTCGAGGAGGGCAAAACGAGGATCGAGTAATCTGTCCCACCGTACTTTTCATCCACCTCTTCAACAAAACTAAGCATGTTACATGACCACTACGTGTTTCTGTACATTTAGTGTTGCTTGCTTGTTCACTTGATTTTAGATCCGTTTACGTTGCTTCTTTCCCTCTTTTATTATTTCATATTCTGTTTCCAAGTTCTGGTCCCCGGCCTCTATTTCTTATTATTACTTTTATAGAAGACCGTCAACCCTAATGTTATATTCTCGCTGATGGTCGCGCCATTGGCTGTTCAAGTTTTACATTTCGCCCGCATGAACTAGAAAGCAACAAGTAATCTGAACATACTACCTCTGGGTTACATCGTGGTCTGATTTCTGCTTCCAGCTTACACATCACATGATGGAGGGGTGGCTTCTTTCTCCCAGTAGTCAGCGATAACCGGCTCATCCGTACAGTTTTGGTGATGAAAATGACACTTGACAATGACTTAACTATCGCAAATAATAGCGGGACGGCCCACAAAGAACCATAGTGGTCAAGTTGATTTGCCGGATAACTGGGTCGTTTAAAGGTAATCGGGCTTAGCGTCATTACTGCCGGCAGCTCAGCTGAACCTCCATAAGCCAATTTAATCGGAGCAGCAGGTCTCTCTCTATTCATTGGTACCGGTGTGGTAATCGACCTGCAACCCCTCAGTCTCGAACAAGGCACGTGAGCGGGTTCTTACTCGACCCTCATGAGGGGCATTCGACCATTTTCTCCTTTCTACAGGTCTTGTCAGTTGCGTCGACACTTCTCTTGTGCCACAGTCATGTCCCGCAATTATGAGGTACGCGCACCTCCGGTCGGAGGCCGATGACTCAAATGACTGCATTACCATTCTAACAGAACGCAGGCTGCGATTGCGGCCCTCAACTCGCTGCAAACCAATTTTGCGGTGGTTGAGGAATTGAGGAAGTCGGTGTCTAGGAAAGACATGAACCTACGCTCCCTTCCGGAGACCGTAGAGTGGCTTCGACGCATTGGCTACCAGGTTGGTACCACCTTCCACAGCAGATTCATAAGCCAGGAAGCCTCGTCTGTCATTACTAACATGACACCCTATACTATAGCCTTCGGACCTGAACCAAATAAATCCTATCCACGTTGCCGGTACCAAGGGCAAAGGATCGACGTCGTCCTTCATCTCCTCTATCCTGTCCCAGTATACTCCTTCTGGATCCGCGGATGCCCCCTCGCGCAAGCTCAACAAGGTCGGACTTTACACCTCACCCCACCTGCGATTCGCCCGCGAACGTATCAAGATCGATAATACTCCACTCTCCGAAGAGAAATTCGCCAAATACTTCTTTGAGGTATGGGATAGACTCGAAGAGGCCGCGCAAAAGGCGGGCGAGGATCCAACAAGCCTACGAACCAAGCCGCAATACTTCCGGTACCTGACTTTGATGGCTTTCCACACCTACATTAGCGAGGGGGTAGACGCTGCGGTCATCGAGTGTGGTATTGGTGGAGAGTACGACTGCACAAATGTGATTGAAAAGCCAGCTGCGACTGCGATCACTAGTTTGGGCATCGACCACACTGCCATGCTCGGTAATACCATTGAAGAGATCGCTTGGCACAAAGGTGGTATCATTAAGCCTGGTACTCAAGCGTTCAGTGCGCCGCAGCCTCCAACCGCAGAGAAGGTTCTATACGAGCGCGCAGCGGAGAAAGGCACTCAGCTTGAAATAGTGAGAGGCCACCCCGATCTCACCACTACGGGAGATGTAAAACTCGGTTTGGCTGGTGATTTCCAGTATACAAATGCCGCCGTCGCCGTCGCTGCAGCTGCCGAATTTCTCAGAAAGGTCGGGGTCGAAGATGTCCCGTCGGACATCCTTTCCAAGCCCTTGCCGCCAGCATTCCGCCAAGGGTTGGAGTCTGCCCGACTGGGAGGTCGCTGCGAGACGCGCCATGAGAAAGAAGTCACCTGGTACCTTGATGGAGGCCATACTTTGGAGAGTATCAGGCTTGCTGGTCAATGGTTCGCTTCCCAGGTACAAGCCAATTCTTCGTCTACTGCAGCCGCGAACAAAAAGCTGCGCGTTTTGATCTTCAACCAGCAGACTCGCGATAGTAATGCTCTTGCTGAGGCTTTACACGAGACCTTATCTGCAGCCTTGGGCGCGGAGCAGCCGTTCACTCATGCTCTTTTTTGCACGAATGTCACCTACAAGGATGCAGGCTACCGTCCTGATCTGGTTAGTATGAACACGAATGCGGATGACGTGCAGAGACTACAGGTCCAGAAAAGCCTTGCTGAAAAGTGGCATTCGATTGATCCCCGCACCGAGGTCAAGGTGTATGGAACTATTGAAGAGGCTGTAGACTTCGCTAGGGAACTTGCGACAAGAGAGAGGGGACTTGTAGGTCAAGATGAGGCTCCTGTCATGACCTTTGTCACAGGTAGCTTACTCCTTGTCGGAGGGTTCCTGGATGTGATTGAGACGAAGCCCGCCCAGTACAACTGAATGTGTTTGCCCAATCTTTTTCTGTTTGTCTTTCATTTTTCTGCCTCACCATGAGGTTTCAACAACGATTCTGGTGATACCCGCTAGCCAAGGCTGGTGCCTTATTTGCATGATTAATAATCCGATGATGTCGAGATAGCATTAGAAGGGGCGTCTGATATCTTTCAACAAAGCTGTTATTGTCTTGTGTATATACTAGTATGAAACAAAAACAGCGTGGCGGTGTTGTGGAACCCAAAGAAAGCTTCACTGTAGTAGTGTTTATCACTAGTAGTGTATGGAAATGGCTGCCATTACCGCGGCAGTGAGAGCAAGCTCCTCCCCGCGCAGGAACGGCGGCAACGTGGGGCTGCTTAGAAAACCTTCCCGTGTCCACTTTGGTCCGAACCCCTCGAACTTCGATTCCTTATTCCCGCTGCTACAAGCTGTGATGTCGGACCCCAAGGATAACAAGGGCAAGGCCCCCGAGGCGCCCAAAGCTGAAGTAAGTGGCATCTAATCTGCGAACCCGAATCTCTCATGCCCCTCAATGTTTGGAGATCGTCTAACAAGCAGCTACCCTAGGATGCGCCAGGTAACAAGCTGTCCACCAAGGCAGTGGAGGCTCTGCTGGAGAGCAACGCCGCCCTGAAGAATGAGCTGGCCGGTATGGACAAGGACAAGGCTGCGGAAGCTCTACGGAAGATGGATATTGCTGAGCTGTTGACGGGTCTTGCTGTGGGCGGAAAGAACCAGAAGGACATGGCTTCGTACAAGTTCTGGCAGACACAGCCCGTGCCTCGATTCGATGAGGCGGCCAACGATGCTGGCGGACCTATCAAGATCATCGACCCTGAGAAGGTGTCCAAGACTCCCGATACACTGATCGAGGGATTTGAGTGGGCAACGCTGGACCTTACCAACGACGACGAACTCCAAGAACTGTGGGATTTGTTGACATACCATTACGTCGAGGATGACAATGCTATGTTCCGGTTCAGATATTCCAAGTCATTTTTGCACTGGTTGGTCTATCTGATGATTTTCTCGACACATGTTACTGACTATGATGGGCTCCAGGGCTTTGATGTCTCCGGGCTGGAAGAAGGAATGGCACGTCGGTGTCCGCGCAAGCAAGTCTAAGAAATTGGTCGCTTCGATCTGCGGTGTTCCCACGGAGGTTCGCGTTCGTGATCAGAAGATCAAGGTGACGGAGATCAACTTCCTGTGCATTCACAAGAAGTTGCGCTCTAAGCGTCTGACTCCCGTCCTTATCAAGGAGATCACCCGTCGCTGCTATCTTAGCGGTATCTACCAAGCCGTTTACACTGCGGGTGTTGTTCTGCCGACGCCTGTTAGCTCTTGCCGGTACTACCACCGCCCATTGGACTGGCTGAAGCTCTACGAAATCGGCTTCTCCCACCTCCCCCGTGGCTCCACCAAAGCACGCCAGATCACCAGGAACCACCTTCCCAGCACCACAGCAACTCCCGGCTTGCGCGTTATGGAGGCCAAGGATGTGGACGCTGTTCAGAATTTGCTGGAGCGGTATTCCAAGCGGTTTGCCTTGAACCAGGCCTTCACCCGCGAGGAAGTCGAGCATTGGTTGTTGCACAAGGAAGAGGCCGGAAAAGAGCAGGTTGTGTGGTCTTACGTGGTCGAAGATGCCGAAACCCACAAGATCACCGACTTTGTCTCTTTCTACAACCTTGAGTCGACTGTGATTCAGCACCCCAAGCACGACAACGTCCGCGCCGCTTACCTGTACTACTATGGCACGGAAACTGCCTTCACCCAGGATCAGAAGGCTCTTAAGGAGAGACTGCTCATGCTGATGAATGATGCTCTGGTTCTCGCGAAGAAGGTATGATCTTATCAATTCCCCTGCATGTGGGCTTTGTCCTCTGGACCAAACTAATCAATTCTTAGGCTAAATTCGATGTATTCAACGCACTGACCCTGCACGACAACCCTCTGTTCCTGGAGCAGCTCAAATTCGGTGCAGGTGACGGCCAGCTTCACTACTATCTCTACAATTATCGGACGGCCCCAGTCCCTGGAGGTGTCAACGATAAGAACCTTCCCGATGAGAAGAAGATGGGCGGTGTTGGTATCGTTATGCTGTAGGGTCTGGCACTCTGTTGCATTCTTGACACATATGAAACGTTCTTCCGCGATCTCTGTTGCAATTCATGGCGGCATTTGAGGAAGAAACTGTGGATACTTCTATCATGAATATAAATGATGTTAAAAGCTCTGTATATCCCTAGCGATACTAGCAGCCGATGGGTGCCTGGATCTGCACCGAAAGTAGACTAGCCGTCCGACCCACTTGTGTCATGCCTCAGGTGCCAAGGCTGCCGCATGCGGGACTCGCCATCCCGTCATTAACCAAGCATCCCCCCGACTTTGTTCCTCTCCTGACCATCAACAAGTCGTGTACCTTATTTCTTGCCTTCTCGGGTGTTGATGGATTACTTCAGTCCTTCTTGCCATTCCGGCTCATCTGGTTCCCTTGAGTGCCGGGTTCCTTTCCAGTAGTTGATGCACATTGATCGTCAGTCGTATACCTGAAGTGGGTTTACGTCGTCATCACTACGCGGCATCCAGGCTTAAGAATGACTGTACTGATTAAGCTAGATGAACGTGTCCTTTACTCTCCACGACAACTCCGCTGATTGGTAGCTATAACTTGGATCGCACATGGCACCATCTTGTTCGGGCGTTACCGATTATCTTACTTGTCAGCTTATAGACCACTCTAAGACAAGATGGGAGTGGGCCAGTCGACTGAGTATGGGGGGCAGGCGTCCTCGCCAGGTTAGTAGTTCGCTGCCATCTCTCGTAATGGAGTCATAATATCGCATCGCACGATAAAGATGGCTCTTCAGAGAAGAGCAATCCTGTCTCTGACAAGACCTTAGAGGAGCTGAGCTACGTGCTTGCTGAACGGTTTGCAACTAAATGCTTCACTCCCTTGGAGTTGACCCATCTCAAAGACAACTTCTTCTCGCGTGCCATTGACCAAGGCGGTCTGAAGTACTGGAATGAGAAGACTCTCTCGGATTTCCTAGGGATTCCGGATAGCAGTGAATCCCAATGTCCTTTGGACGCGGGCCCCGTGATCTTCCGCATGGTCTCGTACCTTGGGGCATTTCCTTTCCAAAATACTCTTGCTCCAAGTGTGCTAACATTTGAGGCTATGGTGAAAGTCGTTGTTTTGCTGACTGAGCGATACGGGAAAGTCCTAAGACGTGCGCGCAGGGATAGGATACGGCTGCTTTTCGGAAGCCTTGCTGACGTTGGAAGAAAGAGCGTTGAGCAGCAGAATAATGGTGATGAAGTCCGCGAGAATACTGATGCACCTGCGCCGAGCTCCCATGTCCCAGGGTTTGCGATCGATGAGCCGGCCAACGATGATTATGAGGACGAGGAGGACGATGACCTAGCACTAGCTGCTCTGGAATCCTTGGATGCCATCGAGGTCTTTAAGCACGACTCGCGCATGGACAGGGCTGTCTACGAAGCTCGGATATCTGCTGACACGCTCCGTCGCCTCTTGATGCTCCTAATAGTTATTTCGCCCTTAAAGCCTCTTGAGCCCGTAAAGACATACACATCCGATCTAAACGAAGAGCGCATGGAAGCAGTTCAATCGGAGGCCGATAGCATCATGGCAGCGTTCAACCATGAGCCTTCTGGCGGAATAAGTTATAAGGAGTTTGCTCGGACCGTGACATCTTCATTTCCGTATCTTTTCGATCCTCTGACACCGCTGTTCGAGCATCTCCTTTTCAGCAGAAATCTGAATCTATCCCAAAAACGCAACAGGGCCGATTCTGCGGCATCAGAGCCTGTCGAAGAAGCCCCAGAAGATGATCTACCTTCACCCACAACAATCACACTCCCGGGTAGCTTTGAATCTGTGATTCTTAACCCGAGCGTCATCTCACATCTGTCCTTCTTCCTCCCCTCATCCTCGGAAAGCCTAAACTTCCTCCGCGGCAATGTACGCCTGCACCCAGTCTTCTCAACCGTGGCGCATGGCTCCTCTTTAACCTCCTTCTCTCACCACGTGCTCACCTGGTCCTCGGGCACTCTTCTCGTGCTCGAGGGAACCAAACCAGGCGGCGAAATGGTGACCATTGGGGCCTACCTACCACAGCCATGGAAATCACCAACCTCCACCCAGACCAGCTCCAAGTTCTCCAACTCCGTCCTCCCATGTCTCTTCCAGCTCTCGCCAAAACACATGCTCCTGCAAGGGAACCCCTCCTCATCCATCCAACAACAATCAAATACTCCAGCCGCCTACTTCTCCACCAGCTCAGGTATATCACTAGGCTGTCAAATCCCCCCTTCGTCGCGCAGCAATAAAAAGCCCCCCACTCCGCACGGGGCAGGCAGCTTAACCATCGACGTCAGCCTCGAGACTGCACAATTCTACGTCTCTCCTGTCGTGCGCAACGGCGTCTTCCTGCCCCCACCTCCGGGCTCTACCCCAGATACCACCGTCAAAACCACCATCGAGATCTACAACCTAGAAGTCTGGGGTCTGGTGCCCGACCCCACAACCACGTCCGCAGAGGGCGGAAAAAGCGCCGTTGAGTTACAGCAGGCGAAATGGGACTTTGAAGCTCGGGAAGCTGAGCGGCGGCGCAACGTGAATTTGAAGACAGGAGGCAGTGCCGCAGAAGAAAGCGCCAGATGGTTACTGGAAACCGCAGGACTAATCGGAGACGGCGCAGGACGACGTGCAGGAGGAAGTGTCTAACCATAAACCTTGAAGTAAAACAAACCCTGAGAAGATAGTAATAATAGTACTAGTTCGCAATCGAGTTCATCCCTCTTCATAACAATTAATCAAAGATCCATCCATCCACCATCAAACAAAACTAGCAACCCAAACATCCATACTTCTCACCCGCTCCACACCCTCAACACTCACCTCACACGCATCCCTCGCCGCCAACACCACCGCCCTCTCCCTCTCATCCCTCACAACCCTCCTCACCTGCGCCTCAAACCCCCCATCAAGAACAGCCGCAACCTCCCACCTCCCATCCAACAACCCCTCCCCAGTCTGTACATACTCCTCCCTCTCAACCTCCCACCCCGCCTCCACCGCCAACTCCCTAATCCTCTTCGGCCCCAACACCGTCCGCACATTCGAGTCACTACTCTCCCCAGGTTTCCGACACTCCAACGCCGCCTGCGCCAGCGCAGCGAGCACGTGCGGCTGCGCGGACGGGTGCGTGGCTACTAGTCCCCATTCAGCTAGCAGGAGGCGTTTACTGTGCTGCCTGACGGCGCGGAACGTAGACAGGATGAGAGACGGGGAGGAGAAGTACCAAAGACTATGGGCGAGGATTGCAGCGTCGAATGTCGGGGGTAGGGAGGAGAGGTAATCCAGTGGGGATTGTTGGATCCAGGTTATGCGATTTCCTAGTGGGGACTGGGTGATGTGGGATTGGGCTTGGGAGAGGGTGTAGGGGGATCCTGGCAGATTGTATTAGCTTGCCATGGGCAAGTAGGGTGGGGGCGATGAAAAGAGGAGGAGGGTAAAGGATTCACCGTAATCAAGATCTGCTGGGTCAACTGCTACTACGCTGCCTTGCTCGCCTACGGCGGATGCTAGTACGGTCGTGCAGTCGCCTTGGCCGCATCCTAACTCGAGGAGTTTGGAGCCTGTGGGGATGGCCCAGTGCTGGAGGAGGGTTAGTCGGTGGAGGGTTTGGGAGTGTTGGATGTGGAAGTTTTTGGGGTCGTGGAGGGAGAGGCGCGCGATGGAGGCGGCGGTGGTGGAGAGGTCGGTGGACATTTTGATTTCTGTTGCTGTTTTGCTGGATGGATGTGTTTGGTGCAGCTGGGGGATGGGCTATTATAGTTCTTATTGTGGCTAATGGGAGCGGCGGATGGTAACATCTTATCTATTTGAGGGTTAGTATGGGTGTAAGCTGACGCAGAAACATCCCTGCAGTTTAGTTTAGTTTAGATTGGTTGAGTCATAAGGGACCGGCCTAGTTCTTGGAAGTAGATATTCCCTTATCGTTTAGATTGGCCCTGTCTGGAAGTGACTCAACGTATAGGTCTAATTGCATGTGCGGAGAACCCTCGGCACATTTAAGAGTCAGAGATGGGGTAAGCACGGTTTTTTGGTAGATGGGTGGGAAAGAAAGCAGCGCTAGGGGAAGAAATCCATCACGATCTTCAAACATACACAGAATGCATTACTCATACATAGTCTAGGTGCTCAAACCTATATACTGTGAAACCAGTCTATCAATGATCACGCCCCCATAGGTGGAAGTCCCGTAGGCGGACCATAGAAATCCTTGAGTTCCTCTTCCTCTTCCTCCTCTACAGCTCCCTCGATATTCTCCACATCCGATTCCTCGTCCACCGTCTTACTCCGAGACTGCAACCTCCCACGCGCAGCTGGCACCGGAGTTCCGGTTTTCTTGCCGCTATCTTCTGTCTCCGGGGCCGGCTTATTATCGTCTGGCTCTTCTCGGGGCAGACGGTATGCCAGGAATCCCTCGGGAGCGCGTTCCGCTCGGTCCATGATCTCGTTCATGTATTTGCGGACTTCGTCAGGAGGCTTCACGACACGGCCTAGAGGCTCTAGGACTTTGGGGTTGTTGGTGAAGATGCGGAAGGTCACGGGTTGGTAGTATTCCTTCAAATTGGAGTCTTTGTCCTTCTCTTTCTCCTTGTTCTCCTTTTCCTTTTCCTTTTCCTTCTCCTTGTCCTTGCTATCGACCTTTTTGTCTTTCGAGTCATCCTTGTCTGTGGAGGGTTTGTTAGGAGTTTCGGATGCTCCAGCCTTCTGATCAGCTGGGGTGCTGCTGGCTGGCGCCTTATCGCCGTCTGGCTTAGGTTCGGTGGCTGAAGACTCAGGTTTGTCGGTGGATTTGTCCTGCGACTTGTCTTTTTCTTTGTCCTCTGCTTTCCCCTTATCCTTGTCCGCCTCGCCGGCTTTCTCCTTGTTCTTGTCTGCTTTCTTCGACTTGGACTTGGATGCCTTGCCTTTAGCCCGAGGGTTGGCCGTCTCAGTAGCTGATTCCAAGGGAAACGTTGCGTTTGGATCGACCTTCCTCACAAGCAGGAACGAGGCAAGAACAGTATTTCCTCCAGGGAGCCATTCCAGAATTGTGTACTCAGGAAATAGGTATCGATCACCGGAGCCTGCATGTCCGGATGTGCTGCTTCCATAGGGGGTCAGCGGTGACGTAAATTCAAAGACCACCGACTTGTAGTTCTGTCTCGGAGGGGGCGGTGGAGGAGCTGGGCGATAATATGGCGCTGGCGACCCATACTGCGGAGGCCGAGATTGTATGGCAGGTGGATGGCTCTGATACGGAGGCTGTTGATAGGGTTGGTGTGGAGGTCCTGGCCGCGGCGTTGGTTGCTGCTGGGGAGGCGGCATGGGTCGTACAGCAGGGCTTGCCTGCTTTTGCGGATCCGGGGTAGGAGCTGGAGCTGGCGCCACACTAGGACTCGCTACCGGCTGAGACGGGGGCTGACCTGGCGCCGCCAAGCCAGGTTCTTGCTTGATTACAACCTGAGGGGCTGGCTTAGGTGCCTGTGGAGTAGGCGTTTGTGGCGGCTGTGGGACGTTCGAGTTCGGGGGAGGGTGGGCAGGGGCGGCAGACGGTGATGGTTTCGGGACTTGCACCTCGACACGCGGCGTGGGCTGTGGTTGCGACTGCCCTTGGGGGGTTTGCTGAGGGGTTTGCTGAGGAGTTTGCTGAGGAGTTTGCTGAGGAGTTTGCTGAGGAGTTTGCTGAGGAGTTTGCTGGGGTTTCTGCTGGGGGGTTTGCTGAACTGGCTGCGGGGGAGGCTTTTGTGCAGAGGGGGGTTGTTGCGGAGGTTGCGAAGGTTGCGGCGTTTGCTGGGGCTGGGGGTGTTGTATAGGGGTTTGTGACGGACGTGGGGGAGGGTGAGAAGGAGTGGAAGGCTGAGCCTGGCGCTGCTGCTGCTGTAGTCGTTGTTGCTGCTGTTCCCTTGCGCGAATGATGGCATTCAGTTCGTCAATATGAGCCTGGAAAGCGCGGAGTTGTTCTTGGGATGCTTTGCTCGAGGCCACGACGCGCATCAACGCTTTGAGCTCAGGATCGGACGCAGCTCGTGTTGCAAGCATCTGAATGACGGGATCTGGGCTGGGCTTCGGCGGTTGGGCAGTCTGAGGGTGCTGGGAAGGCGATGGCCTTTGCGCGGATTGAGGGCCAGGGGGCCGGTGGGGTGGTTGACTTGGAGTCCGAGCAGGATGTGAAGGGGGTGGGTGGCTTCCAGGAGCGTAGCCTGGTTGAGGGGTTCCTGGAGTCGCCGGAGAGCCTTGAGGTGGATGTTGCCGTGCATGCTGGGGCGGAGCAGGGGAGTGAGGATAGGGGTGGTATTGTTGAAAGTTGTTTGGATGTCCGTAATGAACCATCGGGCGTTGAGGGGTGGTGTATTGGATCGGTGGCGGCGCGTTGGGATCTTTGACAGTGTACAGCATCGCGTCGAAAAGATGAGGTCCAACAACGATGTTGCAAGCCCCAACCTTTGACATGGTCTCCTTGGGCGGGTTCTTTCCTTCAATCTGTTCCCTCTTGGTCTTCTTGGGCTTGGTCCAGTATCTCTCCAAAATGCCGTCGCTTAGCCATTTCTTCTTCGATCGTTCCAGGGAAGCTAACAGAATCGCACTGTTCCTGGTCAGCGACCGGAGACCTCAACATATACAATATGCGCTTCTGCGCGTGTAGTCAGGAGGGCACACATACCTTTCTGCATACGACTGATACTCTTTATCCGTAAGAGTAGTTGGTTGCGGCGCTGCCGTAGTGGGAAGAGGCTCTCCATCCTTTATTTTGGTGGGCAAAGGCGGTTCGGTAGGTTCCGGTGGTGGCGGAGGAGGAGGCGAAGGGGCGACGACCGGTGTTGACCCCTTCTTCTTCGACTGTTGAGGTTGAGGTGATGGTCGAGACGGAGCTTCGGAGGCTCGTCGCTTCGCCGCGGGTTCGCGACGTTCGCGGGCGGGGAGTTTGCGTTTTTCGGCCATGCTGGGATGAAATGAATTATTGACGAACAGTTACACGCCAATCAGGAAGCCAGCTGATTAAAGCAGCGGACATCTCGCAGCCTCCGGAATTGACTGGTATGATGGGAAGGGATGAGAGTTGCGGAGGAGGAAAAAAGGCGGCGGAGAAAGTGAAGTTGGAGGCAGAAGCTGGATCGGGCAGTTCCACCGCCGAGCCTCAGCATCCCCGGTTTAATCCTCCTTTCCTTATTCACCGTTCCTGCATCCAGCCAGGTCGCATTGGTAGCATTCAGGTGTGAATATTCTAGAATATATTTGCTGTCCTGATTAAATCCTGTTGAGTGGTGGCACCTTCAGGTTTGCTTATCGCAATTGGAATACACAGCACACGGCGGGCTCAAAGTAAGGGCTCCCGAGACATCTCGACTTGCAGTTCGCTTTATTTCTACCTTCACATCAGCTAAACTGTGTACTGTTGAATGTAGGCTCACAGCCACCATGGTTGAGCTTCAACCCATCTTCAAGAAGGCCTATTGGGCCCTGGCAGCCGGTGGAATCTTCTATGCCATATTCGTCTGTGCCATGACGTATCCCGTAGTCCAAAGATTGTACGTTGTTTCGTTATATGCTCGAATCACTATTCAAGGCGAGCACATTGGTTGACCTGCTGCCTACTTGTATCAGTGCCCTCTATGTCAATAAGATCAATCCCACTGCGTGGCAGGACGTCAACCTGGTTGAATCATTCGGCTTTCTCAGTATGTTAGACTGTTCCATTCTACCCACCAGATCATGCTCAAAGGACAAGCTCATTAACTGCCTCCAAAGAAACGCAAGTCCAGCCATTCAACCTGGTGACTCCTGATAACGAGACACTCTACGGATGGCATCTCCTGCCCCTGCAACTGTGTCACCAGCATGAAGAGGAGCTGAATGCAAACGAACCCGACGGACCAGCAGACGACTACACCAAAACCACTGCATTCAGGCTCCTTAAGAATGACCCGAATGCCAGGGTAGTGGTCAGCTGTAAGTAAGCACCATCACATTCAAAGTACAGCAGCTGATATTTTACATCAGTTCACGGCAACGCCGCCCACCTCGCATCCGCCCAGCGACCCGACATCTATCGACAAGTCCTGGGACTCTCAACACCCCAAAACCCCGTCCATGTCTTTGCCATCGATTACCGCGGGTTCGGCCTCTCCACCGGCACTCCCACAGAAGAGGGTCTAATCACAGACGGAGTATCCCTGCTCAACTACCTCACCTCCGGCCCACTGAACATCTCCCCGTCACGCATCGTTATCATGGGCCAGAGCCTAGGAACAGCCGTCAGCGCAGCAGTCGCAGAGCGCTTTGCATTCGGGTCCCCAGACCCCACTGCTATCCAGCCAGCACTCAAGGACGCGGAACCCTTCGCCGGCGTTATCCTGCTAGCATCCTTCAGCAACGTGCCAAGTCTGATCGATTCCTACAGTTTGAAGGGAATCACACCTCCAATGCTCTCCTTGCTAACCAACTACCCTCGGGCACACAACTGGGCGAAGAGCCACATCGTCGATCGCTGGGACACCGCCGCTAGAGTCGCACGTCTATCCGGAGTAAACACCAACATTACCAAAGACGACCCTAACCCCGCTTACTTGAACAAAGGTCTCGACCTCTTCATCATCCATGCAGCAAACGACGTCGAGATCCCCTGGCAGGAGGGCCGGCGCGTGTGGATCGCCGCCACAGGCGAGGACATCCCCGGTGGTCCTGGCAGGATAGTCCACGAACGGAAGGACACTAACGGACCGAACGAAGTGCAGATCTGGGAAAACCAGTCGACGAAAGACAACGCAGTTGTTAAGCGCGTCAGATGGGAGCGCGTCAGCCATGGTGGTACGTCGATATAGAACCCAACCCAACAAGTGATATCTGGCACAAAAGCTAACAATGAATGACAAGGCCACAACCGCGTCGCAACCTTCTCCGTCGCTGCTCTTTCAGTGATGAGGGCATTTGAGAAGTGAATGCCATGCCACCACATCTCGCCATCAACCCCACATAGACTATTATTAGATATTACAGGCTAAATGCAGACTGGGGCTTCCACATGGCAGTTGTAGCCTCGAATCCTGGTAGCCAATAGAGACCTTGAAATGAGCGAGATGTAAAATAAATCGCGAAAATCCACTTATAAGGCAGGCCAATCAAGAGGGGGGATTGGAGACGCGTTGTCGCGACTGAAGAGTTTGTATTCACTGTCAGTTGCTCTAGATCTTGTGGTTGTGTTCTATAGAGGTACTGAGAGTCGTTCGCATGTGGTTGTGGGTCTCGTGGCTCAGTTTGGATGGGTAGGTATATTGGTACTCGGTTTGGGATATATGCCTTCGGATGAGTCCCTCGATTTGGAGATGGTCATATGTTAGTAGTATAGTAAATCCGAGTAAGGCACAGAAGACATGATTCAGCACCATGAAATAATTTGAAGACTTGCATTACAGGGGGAGCAGGAAGGGCAGTGATTGACATATTTGAATGAGACTTTCGATTCTATGGTAGTACTAATGGGTTACCCGAGTTGAATTATGGTGAACTAGTACGTCCTTTTTACCACCCAGGAATTGCTTTATAGCCCAGTATATGCTTAAAATTTGAATATATGAGAGGAGATATAATGACCTTCAGGTCAAATATGTACAGTCTGAAACCGAGATGAGCCGTCTCGGGAATGGGCGGCCGGGCACCCTACCAACCCGGCCCCATGGCACTGACTGAGAATTTTCCGACGCCCACAGGGCCCGTCTAGATTGCTTTATAAATAATACATGGCGCCAAATTATCTAAACATAATGAGAACATCGTCTTCGTAGGGAATACACGCCGAGAAGGGAAGAGGTAGGAGGGAGGACAGAGCGCGGGTGGGGGATTGCAGGTTCAAGAACCCCGAAAGGAGACGTGATGGGTATACTTTTGAACTGCATCACTGATGTAGGGTAGCTTTAGGAGGCGGTTCTACCTCCGCAAAGCTGTTCCAAGCATTAAGCCACAGGATTGCGACAGACTTATTTCTTGTGTCTGTCGGCCTGGGCCTTCTGGTACTTGGCGATGAGGTCCTTCCTATAAGTGGATTCTTATTAGTATCGGCTTAACATTATATGCGAGGATACGGTGACTTACTGGAGGTGGGGAGGCGCCCTCTCGTAGTGGCTGAACTCCATGGTGTATTCACCCTTACCCTGGGTAGCCGCACGCAGGTGGGAACTGATACCGAACATGCCGTTCAGACTGCAGTCCGCGTACACGGTGAACTCATCAACACCGACCTCAGAGTCGTTGATAGTAGCATTGCGCTTGTTCAAGAGAGCGATAACGTCACCCTGGAACTCAGATGGAGCCGTCACGACAGTCTTCATGATGGGCTCGAGGACAGCAGGGTTACTCTCCTTGAAAGCCTTACGGAAAGCCTGCTGGGTGGCGTTCTTGAAGGCCATTTCAGACGAATCAGTCATGTGGGTAGCACCATCGTTGATGACCATCTTGGTACCAAGGACCTTGTGTCCAATCAGAGGACCCTTGTCACAAGAGAGGTGGAATCCCTTCTCACAAGCGAAGAGGAACTTCTCCGAGATACTTCCACCAACAATCTGTTCCTCGAACACGTTCTCGCCAAGGCTGCCCGTCGGCTCCATCCAACCAACGACACGGGCGTAGTCACCAGGACCACCAGATTGCTTCTTTAACAGGTGGTCGAACTCGACACGCTCGCCAAGGGTCTCACGGTAGGCAACCTGAGGCGGGCCAGTCTCACAGTCGACGCGGTATTCACGGCGCATACGCTCGAGGTAGATTTCAAGGTGCAGTTCACCCATACCAGAGATAAGAGTTTGTTCACTCTCCGCATCGAAGGTGACACGGAAAGTCGGGTCCTCTCTCTGGAAACGTGCCATGGCCTTGGAGAAGTTGGCACCATCCTTGTTGTTCTTAGGCTTGATGGACAGGGAGATGACGGGTTCGGGAACGAACATGGAGGACATGGTGTAGCCCAGCTGTCCATCAGTGAAGGTGTCACCGGAGGCACACTCGACACCGAAGACAGCACAGATCTCACCAGCTCCGACCTCAGTAACGTCCTCCATCTCGTTAGAGTGCATGCGAACAATACGAGGGATCTTGACCTTCTTATCGTTGCGTGCATTGTAGACGAAAGAGCCCTTGCGGAGAGTACCTTGGTACACACGGATATAGGTCAACTGACCAAAGTTGCTCTCTTCCAGCTTGAAAGCAAGACCGACCATGGGCAGAGAGTTGTAGGGGACGAGCTTCACAGAAGCCTCGTTGCGCTTCTTGTCAAGAGCAAGGTTCTGCACTTCGGAGGGGTTGGGAAGGTAGTCGATGACACCATCCAGCATAGGCTGCACGGACTTGTTCGCCAGTGCAGATCCCATGAAGACAGGGGTGAACTTCAGGTTGATGGTTGCCCGACGGATGGCCTGTCTCATTTGGTCCTCGGTAGGAGTTTCCTCCATAAGGAAGATTTCGGCAATTTCGTCATCAACGTCGGCGAGGGTCTCGATAAGCATCTGCCTTCTTTCTTCCGCCAGAGCCTTAACCTTTTCGGGGATCTCATCGGTCTCGAAAAGCTCCTCACCACTGGGTCCACGGTTGTAAATCGCCTTCATGCGAAGCAGATCGACCACGCCCTCGAATTCGTCCTCGGCACCAATGGGCACTTGAACAGCGGCAGCGGGGATCTTAAGCTTCTTGTTGATCTGGTCAACAGCCTTGAAGGGGTTGGCACCCATACGGTCCATCTTGTTGACGAAGGAAATTCTAGGAACGTTGTACCGTCTCATCTGGCGGTCAACGGTGATGGTTTGGGATTGGACACCGGAAACAGCACACAGAATCATGACAGCACCATCCAGAACGCGCAGCGCTCTCTCGACTTCGATGGTGAAGTCAATGTGCCCGGGAGTATCAATCAAGTTGAGGTGGTACTTCTGGTCCTTGCCCTCGGCGTCCTTCTTGACCCAGTCACAGAAAGTTGCGGCGGACTGGATGGTGATACCCTTTTCACGCTCCAGATCCATGGAGTCCATCTTCGCACCAACGGCATCACGGCCACGGACTTCGTGAATAGCCTTGATACGTCCAGTGTAGAAAAGGACACGCTCGGTACATGTCGTCTTACCACTGTCGATGTGTGCCTAGAATGACCATCAGTCGTGAATACTCCAAGCAACTCTTATCCGCAGTATCCTTACAGCAATACCAATGTTCCGAACACGGGACAGACGTGCTGCTTCGACGGGGTCAAGGTTTTCGATAATGGCCTCTTGCGACAGGGTGTCGGGGTTGGCAGCGGCAGCCTCAAGCCTATGTTTATTTGAAAACAACGATCAGTAATTGGCCAATTTGTAGTACTTGTATTTGAACAAAGGCAGAATAAAGTAGTCAAGAGCAGTAGATGCTTACACAGCAGCAGCAGTAGCAGAAGCGTTCCTCCTCTGCTGGAAGTGTTTGCTCAGGGTAGACTGATAAGCCGGAGCCAAAGTAGGTGAACGGAGAGCAGCCGTCGAAGCGCATCGCCGAGTCAAGAAGTTCTGGGACTGAAGACGGACAGAAGATCTGGTCAATCCAGAAACAGCGCGGCATGGCAGCCGCGCAAGAGTAGGAGTCCTCATGATGATCTCCGTGCACACCGAATCTCAATCAAACGTTGGCGCTCTTTGAGTCCCCAAGCGTCTCGATCTTTTCTGCGGCTCCGAAAAAAAGTTCGGGGAAGCCAGGCACGCAGTCACGTGAGCTATACTAGGATGATTGGCCTCCGCTTTCCCCGGGTGCCATTGCAGCCAATGATCTTTGGCTTGATTCTCATCATAGTCAAATTTGAGGAGTCTAAAGGGATGTTGTATTGGAAGGTACTGCAATTGTACATCCTTCCCGATAAGCTATATCTATCACCCGGAAAGTGCACCGAAGGCGTGTCTCTTCCGGCTTCGGACCCATCAAAATTGGTGAAGCCGTGCTCTAGACCTTCAGGTACAGAGACGGCACAATTGTGTAATTGAAATACTGTCGGTGCGGAAATATTTCACACCAGTACATTGTGGCAGAACAGCTTACCGCCTTGCTCTCCGCCACCATCAGTTGATCATCATCAATCATAGATGCAATCATTTACTATTTCCAGCAATCTCTATAGAAACTGTACCGCATTGATACTTCTTAGCTACCCAGTCGGTGCCCAGTGGAGCATTTTATATAATTCCCGTCCAAATGCGATCGTCTCTGAGTCTTCTGGCTTCCGTATCCCGCAGCCAGCCCTCGAAGCTCAGGAAGCCAACCGTTAGCCTTGATCATGTGTGTAACCATCGCTACTTGAGTCGTTCATGCGCTGATATGATCGGAAGTTCATCCAAAGGCAACGAGTCATTTCTCTATGGCGTGAGATCGTGCGAGCGCTCAATAGTCAGTCCTTATCTATACTATTTTAGCAATCATGCACCATGCTGATAGAGTCGCAGAAATACCCAGCTCGTCCACCAAGGATGAACTGCACAGATATGCTCGTGGGGAGTTTGAGCGTAATAGAAACGTTACGGATTTGGTATGGCTTCCTTGCCTTTACGGTATAGCACCAGACTGACGAGTACGGATAGCAACATATACGATATCTTATCTCGGTAAGTTACCCAATTGTTCTTTCCTGGACAAGCAGCCTAACTATACATAGACCGGAAAGTCCGAGTTCGATATGATGAGGCGGTATATTGACGAGCAGGTTGTTGGCTAAGGGCGGGGGGTTCTCGCCAGGATCAGCACTAATTAAGATACAGGCTAAGGTCCAGAGAGTTGAGATCAATGGTTAAGAGATGGAGAGTGATATTCTGACAAAAATCGAATGCATATATGTACAATATCATAGATACCCAAACTAATATGAGAATCAAGTAAGAAACTCAACAACACTTCCTTTTGCCAACCTTACTGTCTCGACAACAACTCCTTCACAGCACTTAGTACCCCAATCGACTTCTGTTCGGAGGGCTCAATAGCAGAGCGGGCAGCATCCTGCTCGGGGAATGACTTTTTAGCATTTGCGGCCTCGTTTGCCGCGGCTTCAATAGCCGCATGACGCTCCCGCCAGCCTCTGTCTTCCTTATCACGGATCTCCAACTCGCGCAGCCAAGCGTCCCGCTTTTCCTGGCTCTTGCGTGCCTCCACCATCTGCTCGAACTCCCTCCGTTGCTTCCGCTCGCTACCATAGTACATTCCTCCGGCGACCACGGCGATAAGGGTGAAGAACTGGGCGTAGATACGAGCACGGAACATCTTGTTCATCTCGACGGAGTCGCCGGCCTTCATCGACCGGTAGGCCCGGTACAGTGCGTAGGAAGTGGCGGCACATCCTAGGTTCGAGTAAGTTAGCTAAGCTGGGTTGAAGAAATGTGGCGTCCGAATTTCAATGGTATGCCTACCTAGCGGGATCAGAGGCTCTTCCTTGAGACGTCTGCGGAACTTTTGGAGCGAAGTCTCCTCTTGGAATTGACTGCAGAAACAGAGATGTTAGAGCTAGCTGAGCCACCAGTCTATGATCTGTATTCAAAAGGAGGCAAAGACGTACGGATGTTCTTCAAAAGACGACGGGAGAGGCTCGCTCATCTTGCTATAATAATTACTGTGACCTGCTGTCAAGTGTGGCGATCGGCGAAGGGGCTCGGAGAGGCTGGGGCCGCTGAAGATGAAAGTTAATCAAATCTGCAAATCATTAGCCAACGATCTTGAGAATTGAGGAGGCAGGCAAAGCTGCACATAAACGCCGACCTTGATTGATAAGTAGCGCCCTGTCCGGAGAGAAAAGTAAATGCGTTGCGCGTGCACCCGGGCAACATGACGTCGGAAGGAACAAGCATACGGAGGAGATAATTTTCGTATTATCGAATACGGTATGTTACGCATACACTTTGTAAGGCCTTGTACCCTCCTTTACTGTTCTATCAGGCCATACTTCGGACAGATGACCGGTTTGTGCTATGCCTCGAGTCCTCTACGCTATATACCAGGTGCTTTTTCATTGACAAGAATAGCTTCATAGAGCAGAAACTTAGAGTCGCAGATCCTCCATATATGGAGATGATAATGTAGCTTCGTGAGACGCCTGCTCTTGACCATAGTATTACCAAGTCAAGTTATCGCTGACGATCTTCAATGAATCAAGTCAAAGCATCGCTTTCGATGGCGGATCATGTGAATTGATTTCTGCTTTTGCCTATTCCTTGATTAGGCAAAGTTTTGGGAAAGGCGCACCCGGAGTTTTCTTAACCTTGACAGATGGTTCATCAAGCTTGTGAGACTTAAAGCCTGTCATAGGATAACATTTGAGCTCATTGGCTGGGAAGAAGCATGTACGTAAAGACTTTCCTATGTTTTCTGGTGGTGGTGCATGGATTCCTTCAGGCCCACTTCAACCATGAATAGCAGTACGGGGTAAGTATATGAAGACCGCAATGTCTGAGAAAATACTGAGTAGGCAGTTTGAAGCCGCTTCCGCGGAATACTCAAGGGGGCAAGAATACTACCTCGATAATAGTAGTATGAACCTGCAACGCCCAAATATGCGCCTGAATTCTTTGCATGTCTTTTCTTATTCCTCAACATAAACCATTTTTCAATTATTCCCGCCCTAGAACTTAGGGCTGGAATGGAGGGTTGATGACATAAAACTTTTCCGCTCCGATCACGGAATTCCCCACGGAATACGCTGATTGACTCGGATCTAGTGCCACCGCCGGACTTTTCGTTTGGTTGACTCAGAGGATTTCCGCCGGACTCTGGTCTTTGTCTTTGTTCTTATCACATTCAATTCTCTCACATATACCCACAAAGACGCCATAATGCCGGGCGAAGTCACTGAGAACGGCGTTCCGTACCCCGTTTCTACCAAGTTGGACAACCTGACCCTGAACGAGCGTTCTGCTGCTCCGTCTCCCACTTCGGATAAGGTGGATGGCCAGGAGCGATCAACAGTCGATTATGGCCTCCCTGACGCCTTTCTGCTTCCCAATGGAACACCAGACGTGAGTCTACACTGGAGTTTTATGTCCTCTATCTAATTACTCATGCTATTCTTGTGTTTAGTATCTCCGCTTGATCCTGACGTCCCGTGTCTACGACATTATCGAGGAGACCCCGCTTCACCATGCGGTCAACATCAGCAATCGCTTGGAGTGCCGTGTGCTTCTGAAGAGAGAGGATCTTCTCCCCGTGTTCAGTTTCAAGCTCCGTGGAGCCTACAACAAGATGGCGCACTTGACCCACGAACAACGGTGGAAGGGAGTCATTGCGTGCTCAGCAGGTGGGTGGCGTCGGTGTGAACTAGTCATGGTGACACTCGTTGACTGACATAATGAAAAGGAAACCATGCGCAGGGTGTTGCTTACTCCGCTCGGAAATTGAAGATCCCCGCGACTATCGTTATGCCATCGGGCACCCCCGCTATCAAGCATCTGAATGTCGCCCGCCTGGGTGGTAGCGTGGTCCTGCACGGAGACGACTTCGACGCAGCTAAGCAAGAAGCATACCGGTTGCAGGAGCAACACGGACTTACCATGATCCCTCCATTCGATGACCCCTACGTGATCGCTGGACAAGGAACCATTGGCATGGAGATATTGCGCCAGGCCAATTTGCAGAAGCTGGAGGCTGTCTTTTGTGCCGTCGGTGGAGGAGGTCTGATTGCTGGCATTGGCGTCTACCTTAAGCGCATCGCACCGCACGTGAAGATCATTGGCGTTGAGGCCCAAGATGCCAATGCCATGGCTCAGTCTCTCGACTCGGGTTCTAGAGTGTTCCTGAAGGACGTGGGACTGTTCGCAGACGGTGCTGCTGTCAAGTCTGTCGGAGAGGAGAACTACCGACTTGCGCGTGAAGTTATCGACGAGGTCGTTCAGGTCACAACCGATGAGACGTGCGCCGCCATCAAGGATGCATTCGAGGATACACGGTCTATCATTGAACCGGCGGGTGCTCTGGCTCTAGCCGGTCTTAAGAAGTACGCCGCAAACAACCCCAGCCCAGACACGAGCAGGGAGCTGTGCGCTATCGCCTCCGGAGCAAACATGGACTTCGACCGCCTGCGCTTTGTTGCTGAGCGTGCGGCTCTGGGAGAGCGGAAGGAAGCGCTCCTGAGCGTCAGGATCCCCGAGAAGCCGGGCGCTTTTGCGAAGCTTGTTGAGGTTGTTCTTCCTCATGCGGTCACCGCGTTCAGCTACCGTTACGCCCGTGAATCATCGGCCGATGTTCTGATGGGCATCTCCTTGTCCGCCGCTACTGGCCGGGATGATTTGGCCAAGATTATTAGCCAATTGGTACGAGGTGGCATGGATACGAAGGATCTCAGTGATGACGAGCTGGCGAAGAGGCACTTGCGCTTCCTGGTTGGTGGTCGCAGCGAGGTCGCGGATGAACGGTTGTTCATGTTCGAGTTCCCCGAACGTCCTGGCGCTCTCGCCAAGTTCTTGACGACCCTTCGTCCCAACCAGAACATCTCTCTGTTCCACTACCGTAACTACGGTGGTGATGTTGGCAAGGTGCTTGCGGGTATCCAATGCCCTGAGAACGAGAAGGCAGAGCTGGAGGCTTTCCTCAGCGACCTGGCTTATCCCTTCACTGAACATACCGATTCGCCTACCTACAAGACCTTCTTGCGGTAGAGGAATTCCGGTACTGTATTTGCTTTTCTCTGGTCACATTAGAATTCTAGAAAACACAGTGTGGGCCGTTGATGGATTTTGTTTGAAATGTTTAGGCGTTCTATTGGGCATGTGGAAGATAGATCGATCTGTGTACCTAAGTTTGGGGCTTTTCTTCGTATATACTTTAATGAAGCATGATACTCACTCCATAATTTATCTATATCAGCCATGAAAAAGTAAAGTTCGTTTGTCTTGCAAGTGGTTTATGGTAAATGCTTCGGAACAGTGGCAGCCAAACATGATTGGTCGGGCATCGGATCTCGGCGGTACAGTAACTCCGGCCAGCATTTGCTCCGAAGGGATTCCGAACATTTGATGATGAGAGGTGCCAATATAGCTGTCTCGAGTCTAGATTCCCTCGAGATCCTCCATTCTCTCGCAGATTTTCGGCGGCCATAGAATTATCGTCTATCCGCCAACCGACACCATGCTGTCTTTCCGTTCCGTCTTTGGTGCCTCGACCGGTGCCCTCCGTCAAATTCTCCCCTCCTTCTCACGCCGGTCCGCCGCTCTCGTTTCGCGCCCTTTCTCGCAAATCGCTCGCCTCTCCCTTGGCAATGGCCTTCGCCTTTTGCGCTCCGGAAAGCAGACCAACAATGCCGGAGTTGCTAGTGTGGGGTCCACATTGAGACAAGTTGAACAGGTCCGGGGGATGAAGACCCGTTCGTCGGTGAAGCGGTTGTGTGATGGCTGCAAGGTATGCCGTGATTCTATCTGAATTGGCTTTTCTGTCTACTGTTGCAGAAGTTTGCCATTATTGGGATTTGTGTGTACTTTGTTGGAATGAGGCTAATACAGAGGACCTGCAGCCTGTGCGGAGAAAGAACCGCGTCTACATTATCTGGTAAGATTGCGTCGATTCCAGCTCCAAAGCTCACTATAGCATGATCGCTAACACATTGTTCTGCAATAGCTCCAAGAACCCGAAGCACAAGCAGCGCCAAGGGAAATAGAGGGATGGGAACGGTTGCGAGAGCATGAGAGAATGAGCGTACCTTCGAACGAGATTTGCTTGCATTGAACATCAACTGAAGCCGATGGAAGAGCTAGCATTACTTGCATGACCTCTGCCTGACCTTGCGACGGTGGTAAACAACTCGTGGATAGATGTATTGTGGGTATACGGCTACTACTACTGGGTCTCGACATTGGGAAAACCGCGCATTTGCTATGGGATACGACCAACTGGTTGGTTAGGCGCTTTATTGCATTGTCTGTACATTAATTGTGTCTATATATTGGAATTCTCTTTCTTCAACTACAATTTCCCGGGTAAATTGATATCTTGGTGGTAGTTTGGGGGTTAGTCGTACTTCGGATGCGCGGAGCCCTCATGCGATGGTTTTCCTGATCCGACGGTTCCACGATTTGCTTCTCTCGCATCCTCGCCTCCTCGACATATGCGGGGTATACCTCTTCATAATCAGGTTCGAAGCTATGCTCAAGTCACTGACCGATCGACTCCGCACGGTTTGCATTTCTTCCCGAGGCAGCATGCAAGGGATGCTCCTAGGCTCGTCCATATTCGAATGATGTCGAATACAGCATTCCCCTGATCATTTAATCGCCGACAGACCCCATTTTACAACCTGCATCAGCATACCTGATGAAGTCAACTCCTTCTATCTCAGGCTTTGGAATGTGCTGGCACATTGATGCAGGGTTCTGAAGTAATAGTCTGCAAGCAACACCCGTACTCTCGCACTCCCAGTCATAATCATGGCACGACTCTGGGTAGGAATCATCTGTTTATGGTCCATCCCAGCAACCTCTGCGCTGAGCAGCTCGTACACTTTCTCCGACTCTCTCATCTCTCAGCAAGCCTTGGACGGCGAGAACTTCCTCAAACATGATGGCGTCCGTGGTCCCTATGTGGACCGCACATCTTACGGAATCAGTCGGGACCCTCCAGCACAATGCTCTGTTGACCAAGTTATCATGGTCAAACGACACGGTGAACGATATCCCTTATCAGGCGAAGGGACTTCCATTGAACAGGCCCTGAAGAAAGTCAACGACTCCATCGCAGGTGACTACAGTGGCGGCGACCTAGCATTCCTGAATAACTGGACCTACTTCGTCCCATCCGACTGCTACGAGGCGGAGACCTCGACAGGGCCCTATGCAGGACTAACAAACGCATACAACCATGGCAAGGCGTACCGCCAACGCTATGGAAATCTTTATAACGAGTCGACCATTCTCCCATTATTCACGTCTGACTTTCAACGAATCATCAGCACAGCGCAGAACTTCGGACAGGGGTTCCTCGGGAATGAGAGCTACGCGACCAAAGCAGCGCTCAATATCATCTCTGAATCTGACAGCCAGGGCGCAGATAGTTTGACGCCAACATGTCATGTACAGGACGATGATGCACAGAGCATCTGCGACGACATGCCGTACTATATGCCTCAGTTCGATGTCGCTGCGGACAGACTGAACGCCCAGTATCAGGGTCTCAATTTGAACTGGACTGACGTATACTCACTTATACGTGAATACCCCATCTCATCTACACCTTTCAAAACGATGCACCACTAACAATGGGCAGTAATGACCGCCTACGAGCTCAACACGCGCTCCTCATCACCCTGGATCGACGTCTTCACCACAGACGAATGGATCAGTTTCGCCCATGTCTGGAACGTCAACTTCTACTACTGCTCAGGGTAAACACCCAAGCCATATCATAACACCACAGCATAAGAATCCAGTGCTAACGACAATGACAATGACACCAACAGCCCCGGCAACAAATACACCCGCGCCCTCGGCGCCCTCTACCTGAACGCAACCCTCACTCTCCTCCAACAAGGCCCCTCATCCTCCGGCCCTCTCTTCTTCAACTTGTACTTTCCCCCTCCCCCCATTTCCCCCTTCCCTCCTTACCTTCACCCTCCCCCCACTAACAATGAATCCAACCAGTTGCCACGACAGCAACATAACCCCCATAATAACCGCCCTCGGCATCGCCACGCCCACCACCCCCCTGAACAAAACCCGTATCCCCTTCCCCCCATCCCCCTGGTCCGTCCAAGACATAGTCCCGATGGGCGGGCGTCTCACCATCGAGCGCATGAACTGCACTGATTCTGCCCTCGCGCCGGGCGGGATCTTCGTCCGACTGGTCCTGAACGAGGCGGTGGTGCCGTTGGAGGACTGTCAGAGTGGACCGGGGTATTCGTGTCCGTTGGACGAGTACGCGGATTTCGTGGGAAGTTTACCGAATTATGTGAGTGAGTGTGAGGTTCCTGAGGATGATAAGCATGATTTGCAGTTTTGGTGGGGGTGGAATACTTCGACGGCGGAGAATTATAGGATGGGGGAGAGGTGTGGGGGGTTGGGTTGATCCATCATCATCATTCTCTTCATGTAGTGGTTATCTTTGAGGGAAAGGGTATACTACATGATGAGGAGACGTTGAGATAATATGTGTAGAGTGTTTTATAGTACTTAAGTCTACTATTGGTGAGTGAATGAAAGTTGAAATGATACATTCCGTCATGGCTCCATGAATATATAAGTAGCATAATTTGAACAACACCCAATCCCAGTAATTGAATCCAACCAACCAATCTAATATCCCAATTTACATACCCGTAACCTACTGAAGAGGATCAATTCCTCCAAAAGTGACACTCTTGACCACCAAGAACTCATCAATACCATACTTGCTGCCCTCGCGACCAAAGCCACTCTGCTTGACACCGCCGAATCTATTCAATCAAATCAGTCAGCAAGAGTCATTCAACAACAACATTCCACAAATAAGAAAAGCAAGCAAGGGTATACTCACGGCGAAGCAACATCACTAATAAGTCCCGTGTTAACACCAACCATACCGACCTCCAGGGCCTCTGCGACACGGAAGATGCGCTTGACATTACTGCTGAAGAAGTATCCCGCCAGACCGACCTCAGCCTTGTTAGCCAGGTCAACGACTTCTTTCTCTGTCTCGAAGGGGAAAAGACCCGCCACGGGACCGAAAGTCTCCTCCGAAGCGACAAGCATATCCTTGTTCATCTCCGTGAGGACGGTCAAGTCGTAAAAGTTAGGACCAAGGTGAGCGGCCTTCTGACCACCCGTCAGGACCTTTGCGCCCTTGGACACAGCGTCGCGGACGTGTTCGTCGACCTTGTTGACGGCGCGATCGTGAATAACCGGACCGTGGGTAACGCCTTCTTCGAAGCCCGCACCCAGCTTGAAGTCCTTGACCTTCTCGGCGAAGCGCTTGGCGAATTCATCGTAGATGCCGCGCTGCACGTAGATGCGGTTCGCGCACACGCAGGTCTGTCCGGAGCTACGGAACTTGGAGGCCACAGCGCCGGCGACGGCAGCGTCAAGGTCCTCGACGTCGTCGAAGACGATGAAGGGGGCGTTGCCGCCGAGCTCCCAGGAGACCTTCTTGATGGTCGAGGAAGACTGCTTCATGAGGAGCTTACCGACGTTGGTGGAGCCGGTGAAGGAGACCTTGCGGACCTCGGGGTGGGTGGTGATGGCTTCGCCGACCTCGGGGGTGTTCTGGGATGCGGTGACGATGTTGACGACACCCTTGGGGATACCGGCGCGGTGGGCCAGCTCGGCGAGAGCGTTAGCCGTGAAGGGCGTCTCACCGGGGGTCTTCGCGACGACGGTGCAGCCGGCTGCGAGGGCAGGGCCGATCTTTCTGGTGATCATAGCGGCGGGGAAGTTCCAGGGTGTGATGAGACCGCAGACACCGACGGGCTGCTTCAGGGTCATGACCCGGTTTCCGGGCACGGAGGAGGGGATGGTGTCACCGTAGATGCGGGGAGCTTCTTCGCTGAACCATTCGAAGAAGCTGGCCGCGTAGTTCACCTCGCCTTTGGCGTCGGCGAGCGGCTTTCCATTTTCCCAGGTTATCAGGGTGGCTAGGTCGTCGGCATTGTCGATCATGAGCTGGTACCATCTGCGCAGCATGCGGGCGCGCTCGCGGGAAAGCGTTGTGCGGAATTTGGGGAAGGCTTCTTTGGCGGCTTGGATAGCCTTCTCTGTGTCTGCGGCGGAGAATTCGGGACATGTTCCGATGAGCTTTCCGGAGGCAGGGTCTGTAGAAGTGGTTCTGTGATGAGTATAGATGGTCGTTGGGCTTGTTGATGGTGAAAGGTATATGGCCTACCGTGGACTTCAAATGTCTGTCCGGATTGAGCGTCTACCCACTCGCCATTGACGTATGCCTTTTGAATGAAGAGGGATTGATCTTTGAGCTACATTATGACCGCTCAATCAGCAATTGGTTCTCGTAGATGAGAGACGAATTGTACAAGCACGAACCTGAGGAACGTTGTAACCCATGGTGGAAACTAGGCGTTTAGTGTGGATAGGAGCAGGAATGGCAAAGGGATAACGAAGGCGCGGTCTCAAGAGTTGCCGGGAAACTGGACGAATAAATCTCTCCATGACTGAAGCACTGAAAATAAATCGCAATCACACCCAGTGGGTCGTGTGGACGAGCAGATGTCCAGCTGCTCTCTCGCTCTTCGTTCCGAAGTTCGGTGCGGGGAGACCTCGGTTTGTTTGGGAGGGTGTCGTGTTTTTGGGTCGGTGTACCACCACTTTCTGCAGCCAGCTATTGAATAGAGATCTAGAGGAGTTTCCGATCAATTCCGGACAAGACCAGCTATTTATTCTCGGAACTAGCAGTGGATTCTGGCAAAGGCAATGCGCCGTGAATCTTACCGGCGGCCTTCAAGCGGGGGAGCTGCCGGTCACGTGGGTAGACGTCATTCGGAGCTTTCGGTTGCGCCGCCACAACAGTGCAGGGTTGCTGGCAGGTTCAGGGGGCTCGGAGTACTGTATGGTAATTAGCCTTGAGTTCTGCAAAGTATCAAGGCTAAATTGAAGGCATTTGAGGCCATAGCTGGCTTCTGTTGCGCCTGTATCTCGATATATTACATCTGCGTAATTGGAATACCATATCGATATGCTATCCCTGGCCTCGGTGATAGTGGCCAATCATGAGATGCCGACTTGGAAGCTCCGGGGATTACACCAATAGGAGAACACTCGACTTCCGGTACCTGTAACTGTAACACCAGTATATTACGACATATACAATGCGCATCATCGATCTATACAGCACCGATTGAGAGTCATTTCTTTCGAAAAATATACACATTGGGCAGTTGGCCACAAAGTATTAGATTAATAAGATATCACTCATTATCAATGTCATCTTCACCACGCGTGCCTGTAGAGGACCTGCCTTCGCTTTTGGAACGGTAATTCGGATGCATGCGCTTCATGTGCAGATTGAGATTCCATGTCCGCGAGAAGCCCTTGTCATGCCTGGAGCACGCCCGGATAGGACATATCAAGTCCTGCTTGCGATGCTCCCCTTTTCCTTTCGGTCGAGACCCATCCCCGGCGTCTTCAGGCGCCGTACTATTGGCTCGCGATGTTGAGCCTCCCTTGATGGAAGCGGCACGTGAACGTGGCCGTCTGCTCTGAGACCGCGACGGTTGTGAGATTTCAGCCTCAGCCTCAGATTCGGGCTCAAGATCGGTCTCAACTTCTGGCTCCGATTCGCTTTCTTCGTATTTCCAGATCTTGGTATCGTCGTCTTGTATATCTTGCTTGATATGTCCTTCTTTGAGCACCTGAAAAGCCATATCTTCGCCAAACAAGGCCGAGCATCTTTGTGCTGTTCGCATCACCACGGCTGGTGGCCAGCCTATCATGGACGCGACACCCAGCACCTCGCTCCAATCCCGTATCCCAAGGCGAATGCGACTCGCGGACCGTCGACGATCGCTACCGACGGAGCGGCCCCGTGAGCGGGAAGAGTGTTGTGACAGTGATCTGTGTCGTGAAGTTGCTTGAGAGGAGCTATATACACTTGACTCCGGTTCGCTTGATACATGCGTACTACGAGAACGAGCATCGCTCGATCCGCTCTTGAAAGATGACCGTCGGGTTCGTTTTCTCCCTCTCGACAGACTTCTGTCTCTTTGAGAATTGACTTTTCTCTTACGAGATGACGAGCCAGACATCACACTCTCAGTGTCGGTCTGCCAGTCGCTTGCGGAGCTGTCATCCGCCGCCGCTCCGCCCTTACGGGCACGATGAAGACCCAGGAGAAGATCATCAAACCGCGAGAGTATATTCCGAGTGAGCGGGCGTAGTTGTCGTCTTGATTTATCGTCGTCTGTCTGGACAGTAGGGCGTAATGGGGCGCCGTCCGCACCCTCACGCTCGCTTTCCCATGCGGTACTTTCGTCCTGCGTCTCGTGTTGAGATGCTGATCTTTTTCTTCGATGTGATGTAAATGGCTTCGAGTCATAATCCCATTCCCTAGCCATAAACCTCTCTTTGGCTGTGCGTAACATGAACGCCATAACCGATTCCTCTAGTTCGGCACTGGGTCGAGGATCTGGCTGCATTCTCAGCGTCCAAGCATCATCGAGACTTTTCCGTACTTCCTCATCCGGTCTAGGCACCTCGGCCGAAGGTAGAGGCCATGCTGTCCAGCGCTTCGGAGGAGCGAATGTATCCATCTCATCCAGCAGTTGGTCATTTGTCTCAGTTGCCCGTCTCGCGATCTCCCGCGCCCGAACCCGGAGCGCATAAGCATTGTACAAATGAGCAGCTAGATCCCGGGCACGAATATCTTCCAGAGCTTGAGCGTTCTGCCTCTCTTCGGCAGTCAATCGTCTCCATGTAGACTCAGGCCCGCGGAATCTATTGGGACGGTATGAATGCGCTGGAGGGGTCTCTGAATCACGCTGGTAATCAAGTTCAGTAGTTTTTTGAAGTGGCTGCTTCTGCTGCCGCTGCCGCCGCGGTTTTTCAGGTGACTGAGGAACTGATGCATAGCTATCCGCATCTGAACCAGATTGTTCATCGTCATTGCTCTCAACGTACGTAGCATCCGAGTGATCATTCTCGATCGGCTCCTCTTCCATAATCACATCAAGATCTTGCTGGCTATCTCCTGACCCTGTTTGGGTTTCTGGGTAGGGTACCAGATCGGCAACATCTTGGCTGCTCGGACCTCCGAAGATGGACCTGTACGGTTGAGCTGACTGCGGCGGGCTAAAGCGCGCGCCGGAGAGTGAGGACATGCCTCAGAGTTGGCGTTTATAGAGTAGGTGGCTTGATTTTGGGTACATAGAGCGATAAAATAGAGGCTTTGAGTTCAGACCCATATGCAGCAAATCCGGCTAGATAGCGACTATCTAGATGGTCGTTCGGTTGATGATCATCAATGTTGGCGGTGTGGCTGCAAGCTTATCTTCGGAGAATTAAAGATGCCAATCTATTGCATTTGACTATAAATAGAGCCAGTAGAATCATATATGAATCGTACACTTAAAAGAAAAGGAATCGGGATTGTTGATGGAAAATTTATTGAATGGTGCGGATCACGACGAAAAAGTCGGATGCACGTGACTTGATACATGTCTACTGGGCATCACGATGTGTCCACTGCTTTCTTTTTACTAACACGCTGGATCATATGGTGCCAAGAGTTGAGAATGGTCTAAATAATATAGGATGTGTTTAATTGCTGCGTAAGTATGGTTAGTCGCATGTGGTAGTACGTGAACTGTAATAATATAATTAATTTTTAATTATTTTTGATTGAAAATCAAGTTGATCTTGGTATACATACTTCGGGATTAATTTTCGGTGGTTCGGCTTGGTTCCTGATCTGCACCAGCCTCATATTACAACAAATTTAGCCAGACCAGAACGGCATCATGCACTTGCAATGGACATTAGAGATATTGCCGGCGTACAAAAATTTGATTAGTGTGCTTTTGGGCTAATTTTGCAGTTGTGCGATGGCTCCAAGATGTTGTGGCAAATCAACATCATGACAATGCCCAGAGGGCAGCAGGCTAATACCATAATAGTGAAAATATATACGTCGGAAAGAGAGTGACTTTCAGTCCGTATATCGTTCATCCTTGGTTACGTACTTGAAGATAAATGGTCTCGGTAATCCTATCGAAGGATATGATGCGAACAACTAAAACAACAGAATTACAAGACAACAGACAGTCTGATGGGGATCCACTTCGAAAGAACCATGGCCTCGTGTATGCGCATGAATATATCCATCAAAGCCGATACATTGAGAACAAATTACACGTTAGATTCGACCGTGAGTTTTTATGTTTCTAAAGCATTTGAGGATTGCCTCATGCTACTAGGACGATGATATATTGATGTAAACATTCTACACATTGAGGTGCCCACCTCTCGAAAATGGATAACTTTAAACAGCATATGGCTTTCGTACTTGTCTATCACTTATAGTCTCCAGAAACGTAAGGTTCCGTTAGAATCTGGGATAATAAGCAGCTTGGAATCCCTCGAGCAGACCATTTCCCCGCGTGGACACCTGCTGATCTTAGCGTCTGGTCCCCGTGTAAACTGCTGCTTGAGATTCGTAGCCAGATTATATATCTCAACCGTTCCCTCAAGTATCCGGAAGATCAACTTGTCGCCGATAAACTGTACGCCTCCAATAGTTGCGTATTCCTGCATCATAAAATCATCGAAATGCAGAGACCATCTCTGTTTCTCTATTCCTGTGTAAGGGTCCCACAGGCAAAGTGCACCGATCTGAAGCCCACCAGCCAAAAATCTCCCATCCGGACTCCAGACCATGGAGCGCGACCATGTAGGTAATTTGATACACGAGACTGGCTGTGCCGTGGGGATATTGTAAATATGAATAAGGTCGCGACCTCCCTGGCTGATAGCCAAATATTTAGAATCTGGGGAGAAGGCACCGCACCAAAGTTGGCCGTCCAAGGGTCCAATAATATGAAGGGATTTGCCGGAGAGAATATCCCAGATCCGCGCGGTGCCATCCCACGATATAGAAGCAGCAAGAGAGCTATCTGGACTGATACTGATCTATATTACAATATCTGTGTGACCTTGGAGCCGATGTCGAATTAATCAGCTATCCACATCCCAGAGAATGACACAGGGGGAGTAACAGCAATCACCAGTATAATCATCAATCGTAACGTTTTGGACAATATATATCATCGTTTTACCATCAGGACTGAAGACTGCCCCCCCGAATGAGCCCAATTCGCCGGGGAAACAGTGCATGAAGTCGGTGTTCTGATGGTCTGCAGCAGCAATTTGTTGTTCTTGTTCCTCTTTCGAGGAAGGCATTTTCATGCCATACTGATCAAGCTCCCATACTATAATGTACCCGTTTCCTCCACCTTCTTCTTCACTCTGTGATGATAACAAATAACGTGGGGCATCCGGCTTGTCGATCGAGTCCTTACCTAGGCTGGGTGCAAAGGCGACAGTAACTACCTCCCCAGGATGTCCATGTAACACATCGACTCGCTCCTTGGTGTTCACACGGAATAAGTGAATTTGATTTGCAATTCCTATTGCAACTATCTGATTATCTGGACTTATGGCAGGGGTGGTCGCCTCCCCGTCGAGAAAGATCTTCGCTTCTTCCTGACCCCAGTGTTTTGGATGGCCGTTCTCCCAAGTGGCCGGCACACCAGACAATGAAGCAAAATCCGAACGGATGCAATATGTCCAATTCTTAAGAAATTTTCGTTCGTCCATTTCATTGTCATTCTCTTCACAGGATATAGGATCCCCCGTGTGTTCTGAAGAGCTGCTGAATGATGACTCGGACGTCATACTGTGAAAGACTCCTTTGGGCTAAGGAGGAAAGTAGAATACGGGGCAGACCAGAAATTCGCGGGTGAATTTCGGAAGAAGGCAGAGACGATAGTAAACTAGTTATAGTTAGCCCAAGGGAACAATGACTGACCAAGACCGACCGGAGGGCGGCGAAAAGACATGTCCGCCTGGGCAAATGCTGAACACACACAGACACAGACACACACACACACACACACACAATTCATTAACGCCCGGCGGCTCAGCCGAAATGGCAACTATCACTAATCTATCAACACGAAGTCCAATGTACAGCTGCTGTAGTTCCTTGGAGCCCATACATAACTCCAATTCAATTCCTATCTAAACTCCCGAAGAGTAAACTCATATTGGACCTATACATGGCTCTTCGTAATACTATAACCAGCAGGGATCAGACAAAAGACAATTTTGGTCAGACGGTAGACGTGTATACTTATTAGACAACACTCTAACTGAATGCTATGATAAATACAAAGAATCAAGACGCCAATATAGGAATGCTTCCAAATCCCAGCAGGATATCATTCTATTGTCACAGAAAAGCCAACTTTTATGTGCCTAACTTCATTTCTGGCCCTCCTTCTCGAGCTTTCTCCGCTTAGACCGCAGCTTGGCAGCCTCTTCGGACTTCTGCTTGTTCGAGTACATCATCTTCTCGAGGAGCTTGCGCTTCTTCCGGCTCATCATCATCTTCTGTCTCTCCAGCTCTTCCTCCTCCTTGCGCTTCTTGGAGGCGATCTTCTTGGCCTGAGCGGACTTCTTCTTGGCTGCTTCGCCAGCACCACCACCAGACGAGAAAGGAAGGCCAGCAGCTTCAGCCTCCAGCTCCTTCTGGTGCTGTGTCCGGGCGGCCTCCTCTTCATCCTCAGACTCGGAGGCGGCCTCGTTGTCCTCGAAGCCGCCGAAGTCCTCGTCCTCTTCCTCGCTCTCGCTCTCGTCCTCATCAGTCTCAGCGACATCCATGCCACCGTTGATATCGGACTCTTCCTCGCTTTCAGCCTCGGACTCCTCTTCCTTGGTCTCGGCCTTCTTCTCATCAGTGGCCTCCTCCATCTCTTCGTCGCTGTCTTCGTCCAGCTCTGCCTCACCTTCCTCCTCCTGCTCGGCCAAGCTGGCGCGGGGGTCATAGCCACCCTTGGAAGGCTTGACCCACGGGCTCAGGTGAGGGGGAAGAGTGGCACCCGGGGCGTACAGATCAGCACGAAGGAGCTTGCCCTCGTTGATGCAGTCCCACACCCATTGGGGCTGGACATAGGTTCTGCCGGGAATGCGGGTTCCCGGTCTGACCTTCTGAGCAGCACCGTCTGTCGAAGCAGCAGGGATAGCGGGCAGCGAAGACTCAGGCAAAGAAGGGCGATCGACAATCTGGTGGGTGATGCGAGTATCCGTCTCATCGTGGGTGAAAGCTCCGTCACCGAGGACAGCGTCCCATCCAATCCTGGTGCAGCCGAAGGAGCGAAGGATGAACTCCAGGGGCGCCTTGGGGGCCTCACGGGAAACGTAGAAAACGAAAGGTGCGAACAGAGAACCAGCCTCATCTCCGCTCAAGTCGGGCTGGGGAAGAGTGTCGGCCTCGGGGGCAGTAGGCTCGAACTTGTCGATAGCCTCGGAAGCTTCTTCGGTTGTCTCGGTAACCTGCTCGTCTCTGGTCTGATCCAAGCCTGCAGTCTTGATGACCTTGTCGACCTTGGCCTGAACTTCCTTGGAGACTTCCTGGTTGGAAGGCTTGCTCGCCTGCTTGTTGGCTTCGAGAGCCTTGGGGGCTTCGCCGACGGTGCGACCCTCCAGAGTGAAGGCCGCCAACTCAGCACCATTCTCATCGCTCCTCTTGTCGAACTTGGGGGGATAGCGAAGACCAAGAGTCGAGTAAAGACGGTAGTTGACGAATCCGAGCAAAGTCGTGTAGAAGTCGACGAAAGTGGCCATGATACGGTAGTCGACGTCGCCATTGACACGCTGCACAAAGCGGTAGGGCACAAGCCACATGATGTCCTGTCCCTGGATAGTCGCCTGGTAGTAGATACCCTTGATCGACAGGAAAGATTTGCGCAGAGAGTTCGTGGTGATCAGGTAGTGCTGGAACTCGTGGGTAACCCGCTGGCAGAGAGCGATGGTCTTGGCTGGGACATGGGGAGAAGAGGGGAGGTTGGCAAAGAGGAACAGCAGAGACAAGGCATCGTCGAGATCTCTCAGAGCGTCAATGAATGTCGGGTAGCGCTCCTTGATGATATGGTCCAAGGTGAGCTTCGGCGCATGGTTCTTCTCCAAACGGGACGCATCAGAGACTTCACCACGTCCAAGGGAGCGGGCAATCTTCTTCGCAAGCGCCTTTTGGTCACGGAACTTCCTCAGGAGGGGCTCATGGAGGAGGAACTGAATATCTTTCGTGTAGTAGAAAGTGGTGTTGGGAGTGGAAGTCTTGGAGGCCTTCTTCTTGTTCCGGGGCTCACGGGGGTAAATTCCTGTTTGGCGAGAAAGAACGAATCAGCACCTTGTATATGACTTAAGCCCTCAATCCATAAAAAGAATATGCATACCCTTGAAGATACATAGTCGACGGAAATCCGGGAGGGAAATCTGAAGTTTGCGCACGGCCTGGGTTCTGGTAATGTAGTTTTTGGCCTGGCCAGAGGTTCCTGAAAAAAAGAGATTGTTAGCATGAGATTGTCGCATGAAAATTAGGAGTGTAGATACCCTTCTTCTTAATCTTAGCCATGTTTGCGACTGTTCTGGTGCAAGTGTTGCGGGTTGAAGATTGGAGAAAATCCCGATAACCAGAAAAATCTCGATAAGTTTTTTTTTCTTTTACTTTTCTGGATCAGCAGCTCGGAGTGGTCCGTGCACGGCGGAAAAGGGAAATGCGCGGAGTCTTGGCACGTGAAGCCAACCGGACAGCTGGAGATCCGCGGCCTCCAACTCCCCCAATCATTTCACGGCCGTTGCATAGGCCGTCTCTTGATCAATACGGGCATGCGCTGAGTGATCAGCTCATTTGAAGTCAGTATGGGGGTAGATCATAGGAAAGCCGCCGTTTTCGGTGGTGCTCTGGCCCTGCGACTTCTTCTCTCAGTACTATTCCCCTCACTCCCCGACTTGTTGACGGGTAGAGTCGAGGTATCAACACCGGTGACCAGCTTCAAGAGACGTAAGTCAGAGGTAGCAGTCTTGAGGTTACTGGAAGCTAACACTCGCTCTTATAGTTCAAGAAGGTCTTTTCCTGTACATGCGCAATGTTTCCCCCTATGACGGAGGCGTCTTCCACCAGGTATAACCGACGAGTATACATTCGACTGAACCCTCCTAACAGAGCACAGGCACCGCTACTTCTTCCTCTATTTTCCCTCCTACCGAACGCGCAATCCCATCCTCTTCCTACTGCGTTATTCTATTCCATGATAGACCTGGTGAACGCAAATGCCCTGGTTACAATCTCGGATTCTGGACAGGCGGTATCGGGGAGATTCTATTCGGCATTGCGAAAGCATATCAGATGGGATGGAGTGTCTATCGCGGCATGGTAAATGGCGGATATCAATACATCGTGTCGCTTGGTGCTGACCTTGTCAGGTTCCTGTTCAATCCCTTCACCATCGCTACCTGCTTGGGCCGGTCGACCGGGGTGTTTACTACGACTGGAATACTATACGCCTTTTCGAGCGCTGTCACCGGAAACAGTCTGAATGCAATGCTGTCTCTGGGGCTTTCATCGTACCTGTCGATATATCCAGCGCTTCTCTTCACCCCGCTCGTTCTTCTATGCTACGACCAGCGAGTCCAGAAGACTAAGGTTTCTTCCGGTACCCTACCGTTCGCTCTACAACACTTCGCCGTCTTCCTTGCATGCATTCTGGGACTGCTTGGCATATCTACCTTGTTGATTGGCGACTTTTACACTTTCATCTCCGCGACATATGGCTTCCAGTTGCTCGTGCCTGACCTGACCCCCAACGTTGGCCTATGGTGGTACTTCTTCATCGAAATCTTCGACTCTTTCCGAGAGTTCTTCCTTGGGGTGTTCTGGCTTCACTTGGCTGCGTACATGGGCGGCCTCACTGTGCGACTGCGCCGGCAGCCTTTGTTTGTGCTGACGTCCCTTTTGGGCATCTTTGCCATTTTCAAACCGTATCCCAGCATATCCGACGCATCATTATACTTCGCTCTGCTCCCACTCTACCGCCACCTCTTCCCTCGTAAGCAGACCCCCTAGTGCATTTATTGACATGTGCTAATGCTATTTAGTGATGCGATACACCTTTTTCGCAATCTCCGCCCTTCTCTACGCCACTCTCCTAGGACCCGCATTCTACCATCTCTGGATATACGCCGGCTCCGGCAACGCCAACTTCTTCTACGCCATCACTCTGGTATGGAGTCTCGGTCTATCAATATTACTAGCCGACACCATCTTCGCAGCCCTCCGCGACGAATGGGAACACGACAACCCAGAGTTGCGCGGCAAAGAAGTGCGACAAATTTAAGTTTAAGTTTCACTGTACTTTAATCTGCATACCCACACCATAGCATCCATCCAAAGAATAAATGTCAATAGATCATACATACTGCCCCCCATCCAACCTAACAGACATAATCCTATAATCCGGCTCCTTAACCATCCCATTCCTCAACCTCCTCGGTCGAGGACTATACTCATCCGTACCAAACCCAATAGCCTCATAAAGCCTCTGAGCCACCCCATTCGACGTAAACACCGTCAACATCGCCTTCTCCACACAAACCCGTCTCCCTATCTCCATCAGCACAAGCAGTAACCGCTTCCCAAGCCCTTGCTTCTGCACCTCAGCCGACAAATGGATCTCGTAGAGATACACCACCTCTTTCCCATCTTCGTACGTAATCATAAATGACATGAATCCGACCACTGCGTTCTCCCCCTCCCTTTCACCACCATCGGTCGATGATGATAGTGAATCCTTCTCCCGACGAACAACCAAATACTTCATATCTGGAAGCTTCATCTCCTTCTTCTTCTTACTGGGAGACCACCCCGTCGAGGAATTCCTGTATGCCTCGGAGGATGTCTCCTCAATGAGATCGAAGCATGCATTTAGGTCATTGGTGGGGATGCTGGCTGCGGAGTGGATGGATAATTTATACCTCTGCTCGCCAGATGACGATGGGGGTTCGGGTTTGTAGGTGTATGTCAGAAAATCTGGGGTGATGTATTTTGAGGTGAATTCTTGGATGCTGAGTTGGTTGGTGCGCTCGACGAGCGGGAGTGATGGGGATGGGTTGTCTGCGACGTGGTTAGAATTATAATTTTCTTATATAATAGGATGTTCTATAATATTTTATTTGACATACATTGAATCCCATTGCGCTCATACTCATGATCATGTGGTTGGAACGTAGTACTAGCTCGTGTCTTCTTCGGGTGTTGTACGCGTCTCCGCCGCGCGGTAGTAGTGATGTTCTTCTTGGTTACTCGGCCTGCTTGAACGGATGATGACATTTTCGCGCTCGCTTTATGTGCGTTTTTGATATATAAGTATTTCGTGTTTCACTTTGTTTAGAATTCTAAGGGAGGTGTGTCTTGGTATCAATGCTTCGCTGGGTGTTGAAGAATTGATGTGTCGTCTGGCGGAGGTGATTGGCTGATGTGCGGGATTTCCGTTATCCGTTTCCCATGGCAGGGCGTTGTGCCGGGATGGACTGTTGTACATGCATGCATGCATGGGTGTGTTGTGCATGGTGGGGGTATGTTGCTTTTTCTAGTTCTCTATAGAGCTTTTTTAGGCTTTGATAGCACTGTCTACGTTTTGTTTTGCATTTCCCTTGTCATTGTCGTGTTCATGATACTTTCTGCAAGCTGTATGTATATATTGAGATGGTGGCGGACAAATCTGAGCAGTTGTACTACATGGTAGGATACAAAAATTTAAGCTTCCTCAGCTCTCAACTTCGCCGCAAACTCCTCAGCCCGCCTCTCAGCCTCTTCAGGCCCCAGTTCCCCGAAAATGTCAATTCCCCAACGGAAGGGGTAGTTGTAGCGCGTGTTGCGATCGAGCTTGTTCAGGGCCTCGAATTCGGCATCGGGGATGATGAAGTCTACTATCGTTAATAAATCGCGGCACAGAAGGGAGTATACAAGAACTACCTTGGAAGTTACTCTCAATCCGGGATGGGGTAACACTCTTTGGCAAGACGGCTGTACCGCGCTGAACAGCCCATGAGATCAACAACTGAGCCGGCTCCTTTTCCAGCTTCTTCGCGATTTCTTGAACCTGAGGGTCATCGATGACACTGCAGATGGATTAGCAAGGGACAAAGATATTGTATCGTTGATACCTACCGAGGTAGCTCGTAGATGTTGTTCCCCAGAGGGCTGTATGCGACAGGAAGGATGTTCTAGTTTATCTCTGTCAGCAAAGCCATCACTTCAGCAGTTATGGAAACGGTGCTTACCTTCTCCTTCAGGTACTCAGTGAGCTTGGGCTGGAGTAGGTACGGGTGGGCCTCGATTTGGTTCGCAGCAGGCGGGATAGTCGCGGTCTTGAGCAGCTCCTCTACCTTCTCGACGGTGAAGTTGCTCACACCGATACTGCGAACCTTGCCCTTTCGGACTAGGTCCTCCATGGCTTTCCAGGTTTCAGAGATCGGAACGTCTGCCAGCTGGAAGCGCTTCGTCACTGGGTCTAGGGGAGGCTGGAAAGAGTTCTGGTGGATAAATGCCACGGGCCAGTGGATCTGGGTTTGTTAGTAGGATTCGGGGATGGAGTATAGATACCGACGCACCAAGTACAGATCGAGATAGTCGGTCTGGAGATCCTTGAGGGTCTTATTGACGGCCTCTTCTACATTTTCGGGGTGATGGTGGGTATTCCATAGCTTGCTGGTGATCTAAAAGGTCATGAAAGGAGGGTGTCAGTAGATTGCACACGACAATAGGGAATGCGACATGGGTACAGACAAAGATTTCCTCGCGCGGCACTCCTGATTTCTTCCACCCGTCTCCGACTTCTGTTTCGTTCTGATAGATGGCGGCGGCATCGATGTGACGATATCCAGAGCGCAGAGCTGCCTCGACTGCGTTCTCTACCTCGTGGGGTTTGGACAACTGGGACTGTCAGTTTGCGATGAGTTGATTTTGCGAATGCTTCGCATACCCATGTCCCTAAACCGACAGCGGGGATCTCGTATCCCGAGTTTAGCTTGAAGGTACGTCCCAAAGACATGTTGTTATAGGAAAGATTGTATTGTTTGAGAGTGTGTGATGTTTGTGTAAGTGAATAGAAATCACGAGCTTAAAGTTCAAGGGGAAAAGAGAGCGCCATGGTCAGGAGTGAGGGGATAGCAGATTACCCCTCATTCAACCGTCGATCCCGTCCGCGCAATGCGATATCAAATCATGTTAAGCACCGAGCTCATGGAACTCACTGGTTGAGTGATGGATGGTGCAATTTAGCCGTTTCTGTTGTCAACTCATCCTGCTGGGTGATTGCGCGATGTTTTAGATCCCGCTTGATTTCGCCCGATAAATGGCTGGACAGCCTGATCTATACTATCTAACGAGGAGAGAATTCCAATACTCATGCCGCAACCGCAGCAATGCAGTAATAAGAAGTAGAGTAATTTGTCAATCATTTTAGGACACACATGTGGTTTGGACTACTACTACAATAGACCGGTTGACCATTGGGCTCTGTATGATCACTGATAGTCTGTGACAGGAGGGCAGCCCTCTATATGATTGATTATAGAAAGGAATTCCAACACCATCGTAAGGAGAAGCTTCTGGCGACTTCGCACCAGGATGGCGATGCTGCGGAGCTTATTACAAAGTAGTTATATTCCGGCAATCTCGAAGCCTACGTCACTTGTTCCTCAACGATGGTGACCGAAATGACCCCGGAAAGAGACTGGAACCGGATAATGGCAAACTATGTGCTGTTAAATGCTATTAGAGCGAGAGAAAATACCCGGATTGTAACTGGAGTCTGAATTAACGGAGGTAAAGCTGGTTTACGGGGTGTCGGAGAATTAACGATCGCGATGTAAAGCGCCCAGAAATGCGCGGAGTTCCCTCGGCTTATCCGCGTACTGCTTGTGCGGGCTGATGGTCTTGAATTCGGGTCACAATGCGCATAAACACCCCGTGCCCGGTATAGATGACTGCCAAGGGGCAGCTTATCATGATTATTGTCAACACGTTACAACTATTCTGTCAATGGCTTGCGGGCCGGTTTTTTCGGCGTTTGAAAAACCAAGGTCCTCGGCCTTCGAACCCGGGGAAGCGGTTGTCCCTCCAACGCCCACGTGCCCCGCGCCACTCACCGAATACTAGAGTAGTGCATAGATTAAAGACGGCTTTCTCATGCAACATATTCTCTTCAGAAAAGTAGTGATACTTTGCATTTGACTTATACAAACATATATATTACTGATTTACTAGTACATAAGTTGGCCAAATTGCAGTCCCCGAGATAATCCCGATAAGGTAACGGGAAGCCAAAAGGGAGAAGACCGACACTAAACAGGAAAAGTCTGCTCTTTCTCTGGCGGGGCCCATGGTCCACCTCGCCCAGCTTCATCTATCTTCCACCATCTTCCCTATGCGAGGGAAGTCAGAGCCTTTTGCTCAATTGCTGCTATTGATAGTACAATTTGCTGAATAATGATAACAGATTGCCTGATTTTAGGTTGTCAATAATACATCAGCATGGAAGAACGAAGGCGTTACGAATTGAGCTCCAGCATACTAGATTTTGGAGGCTTCAGGCACGACTCATACTATCAATGCCCCACTCGCATAGAATGATAGAAGAACGGATTTATCAGCAAAAGAATCATCGTGCCTTGTCGATGCGTACCTTGATTTGCTGGCTCAGCTCAAGTCTCCATATTCTAAACCTTCATTCCCTTATTTAAGTCTTGTGGCCTTATTATTAAGCCCACCGTCACTCAAGTGGAGCATGCCCACTTACGTCAATAAACCAAGAGCAAGAGCTCTTTAAAAGCTACAAACCTCCCAACCAAGGTGAATTCCAAGGCTTGATCCCATTCTGTTGCTATTGTTACCTGTCACTCGCTGCACCTTCACCTTCCAGAACAAATACACACCAGAACAATGGGCGCTACATCTCAGAAGCAGTGGACCGTCCTTAACAAGGACAACGACTTCGATGGCCTCACCTTTGGCGAGGCCCCTATCCCGAAAGTCGGTGAGAACGAGGTTTTGGTCAAGTTCCACGCTGCGTCGTTGAACTTCCGTGACCTGATCATCCCCAAGGTGCGTTTCTCATCCCCACCTGTCAGCCAGCTGTTTTCCCGTTTGTTACGCTGAATTCCTGACAAATAATTGTTATTATTGCAGGGCCAATATCCCTTTGCGCTCAACTTTCCGGTTGTTCCTGGCTCCGATGGTGCCGGTGAGGTTGTCGAGACTGGCTCCAAGGTGACTCAGTTCAAGAAGGGTGACAAGGTTGTCACTCTGTTCAACCAGCAACACCAGTATGGTCCTATCGATGGCCGCGGTGCCAGCTCTGGTCTTGGAGGTGTTATTGACGGTACCCTCCGTCAGTACGGTGCCTTCAACGAGAACGGTCTGGTCAAGAGCCCCGAGAACCTCAACCACCTCGAAGCCAGCACTCTCTCCTGCGCTGCTCTGACGAGCTGGAATGCTTTGTATGGCTTGAAGCCTTTGCAGCCTGGTCAGACTGTGTTGGTACAGGGAACCGGAGGTGTTAGCATTTTCGCTTTGCAGGTAAGAGTCCCATGCCCAGGGCTTGTAGAACACACCAAGGCTGACGCAGATACCTCACTAGTTTGCTAAAGCCGCCGGGGCAAGGGTCATTGCTACTACCTCGTCCGAGGAGAAGGCGAAGAAACTGAAGGAATTGGGTGCCGACCATGTCATCAACTACAAGACTGAGCCCAACTGGGGTGATGTGGCCCGCAAGCTGACTCCTGACAACGTTGGTGTCGACCACATTATCGAGGTCGGAGGCAGCGGTACTCTCAACGAGAGTTTCAAGTGCATCAAGTTCGAGGGTGTGATCAGCATCATCGGATTCGTCGGTGGCGTTGACCCCAACTCCATGCCCAACGTCCTCGATACCTTGAGCCACATTTGTACTGTCCGTGGTATCTATGTTGGTAGCAAGGCTATGATGAACGACATGGTCCGGGCCATTGAGGCCAACAACATCCACCCGGTTGTGGATGAGAAGGTCTTCACCCTGGAGCAGACTCGGGAAGCCTACGAGTACATGGTGAGTGGCTTGTTCGCGCAATGTTATGATTAGATGCTAACATGATGAATAGTGGGGACGCAACCACTTTGGCAAGCTGGCCATCAAGATCGAATAAATATGATACTGGCGAGGCAGCTTCTTAGATACGACGTAAATTGTATGATTGCACGAATACCAATATAATTTATTACACTTTCATATGTATTATGAATGTCAACAAAATTCTCTCGTTATGGGTGTAAGAACTATATAGCGAACCAAAATGCACTGCATACCAAGTCCAGAAACGACACGGTGCTAGCAGTGACAGTAAATCCAACAAAAAGGTACTTGCAAAAAAGGGCTGATTATCTACCATGGAATCCCAAATTCAAATCAAGCTGATCAACAACTCATTGACTGTCAACGTTGAGTCCAGCAAGGTCATCCTGCAAGCCAATCAAGGACGAGGAAGGTCTCCCCTCCCCGCATCGCCACCTCATCTTGCGCCTCGACTTCTTTCATCATCATCACCGCAACGACTCCAGCTTCCTTCATCCGTCAATCCAAGTTGACGTGAGCCTTCCAGTATTTCCGACGAACCTTACTTTTTCACATCCAATTCTTATCAATAGCCCCCGCAATCAGTCCAGATGCAAGCCAACACAAGACATAGATCGACCTTGCCGATCTACGGACCCGATCGCAAGAACATCAAAAAGTCCCAGATAAAATTCATTCGTCCAGCACAAATGAGTTTGCTTGCTCGAGTAACGTGCTATCCTCCCTTGGGTCAAATAACATGTCACCAAAGGAGGTCCAGGAGCTCGGGATCCACGGAACCTGATACGGTAGATAATAACTCCCGTCTTCCATGACACTGCCGAATGATAGCTGATTCCGATAGATCAATTTCACCGTGGTGCTAGAATCAAGCACCTCATTCCCCGTGCAGCCCTGGGATATCCAAATATGGCACAACATCTCTAGTGCTGAGTGGACCGCAACTTCACTCGAGAGTCGCGGGTCTACCGTGGCACCGCTCATGAACGGCAGCGAGGAAGAATATAGTTACTTCCGTAATGTCTTCTCAGGGAAAATAGCTCTCCCGTCAGGTCCTGGGAATGCACAATTCACTGTTCGCTATCGAATCAATCCAGATGCCGAGTGGCAATGGGTGAACCAGCAACAGGGTGCAAGTGATGGGATACTGGTATTCGGCTCACAGAAGTCGGAGGCCACTTCGCTGGCGACGACTCCAACAGAGTTCAGAGAATATTTCGAGGGAATGTCTGCTGATATCGACATTGAACCAAGAAAAAGCGAATCTCCTGGTTCAAATTTGTGGCATCTTTCGGGAAAAGCCGAACCAGCTCATGCAGGCGAATCCGGCTACAAAGAGCTGGCTCTTGGGGTTCCTACATCAATCCTGCGGTATTTCTCCCTAGTGCGGATCTGGGCTCCATGGCTCGGTCCAAGACACGGACAAGGGAAATTCGAATTGTCCGAAGAAGCTATATTGTGCTCGTTTCTGCGGACTGACGGAGTACATATTGTGCTTCTTGGGTTGTCTGGGACGAATAATGTCTTGACCACTTTTGGATCAGGCGAAAATGGGGAAGTAATTGTCAAATCTCTCAGTGACAATCCAGAGCCGTCTACATTCCAGATACTAGCATCAGCTGCGGAGGATTATGAAGTTGCAATGAGCGCAATCGTATACGAAGCTCGCAAGCTCGCAAGGCCCTATGCCGAGCAGGAGGCATCTGATCACAAGCGGGCTCCGGTTTCGCCCCCACCGGACGATATAGTGGTGGTAGAAAAGGATGTCAAGGCACAGTGGATGGCTGAGTGGTACGACGGCTTAACCTACTGCACTTGGAACGGATTGGGTCAGGACTTGACAGAAGAGAAGATCCTTCGCGGTCTGGACTCACTGAAGACTCATGGAATCCAGATCGCTAATTTGATCATTGACGATAACTGGCAAACGCTGGACGAGGCCGACTCACAATTCAAGAGGGGATGGAGGCAGTTTGAAGGAAATCCAGCTGCCTTTCCCAAAGGCTTCAAGCAGACCATTGAAGCCATTCGTCAAAAGCATCCCAACATCGAACACATCGCAGTTTGGCATGCAATGCTCGGATATTGGGGAGGCATTTCATCGGAAGGTGATCTTGCTAAAATATACAAGACGAAAAGAGTAGAAATCAAAGTGCCTGCTGTGGGAGGAGCTATCTCGCATGCGTTTGAGAATGGCTCGGTGCTGGCAATTGACCCAGATGATGTCCAGAAATTCTACGACGACTTCTACAGATATCTTGCCTCCATTGGAGTTGACTCTGTCAAGGCAGACGCCCAGTTCTTTCTCGATCTGATCAAAGACCCAGAGGACCGGAGAAGATTTATTACCGCTTACCAGGACGCATGGTCCATCTCCACGCTGAGACATTTCAGCTCAAGGGCTATATCCTGCATGTCAATGTTCCCACAAGCCATTTTTCACTCACAGCTTCCAACGACCAAGCCTACTATCCCTCTCCGAAATTCAGACGACTTCTTCCCCAACATCGAGTCATCCCATCCATGGCACATCTTCTGCAACGCCCACAACGCCCTGTTGACCCGCTACCTGAACGTCGTCCCCGACTGGGACATGTTCCAGACAAGCCACCCGTACGCCGGTTTTCACGCCGCGGCACGTTGCGTCTCCGGAGGACCAGTATACATCACGGACGAGCCCGGTAAGCACGACGTCTCCTTGATAGACCAAATGACCGCCAAAACCATACACGACGGAACCGTAATCCTCCGCCCAAGCTTAATCGGTCGTGCCATGGACATCTATCACGACTACAACGAAGGCCACATAGTGCGCGTAGGTACATATACAGGCTGGGCCCGAACCGGCAGCGGCATCCTCGGTCTTTTCAACATCTCCACTGCCGAGAAATCCACCATAACCCACCTCCTCGACTTCCCAGGAATCCACCAAGACTCCCAAGGCGAGTACATCATCCGCGCCCACACCAGCGGCATGATTGCCTCGGACTTACGCGTCCCGAATACGGAGTCATCCCTAGTCACGGTAACTCTGCCACCGAAGGGCTGGGAAATCCTAACAACATACCCAACCTACACCTTCAACCTGAAGGCCAAGAAACATGCCTCCAAAACTTCCCCAGAAACAAAAGTAGCAGTCCTAGGCCTAATCGGCAAAATGACCGGCGCAGCAGCAACCATCTTCTCTGATATCTACGTTGAAGATAACGGCCGACTGCGATTCGACGTTAGTCTGAAGGCTTTGGGAGTTTTGGGGATCTATTTCTCCGATCTGCCGGACTGGAGTGTTGATGACAACTTCATGGTGATGATTCTGGGGAGGCCTGTACCGAAGAAGACTGTCTGGAAGGAAGGTGGTGATAAGGGGAGAGTGGTAGCGGTGGATATTCTGACTGCGTGGAAGGAGATGGGTTTGAAGGCTGGGTGGAGTAATGATGTTCTTGTTGAGGTGTTTGTTGGTTGAGACATTTATAAAGGGGGTATACATATTATAAGGTTCTCGTCAGAGGATATTAGTACAGCATGGTATAGAATAGACTGGGTATATACCGAGATTTCGCCAAGCAAGACAATGGATTAAGAGTAGTTTTTCTGAGCAGAGTATCCAAGAGAGCGTATTCACTACTCAGTAGCAGCTAGTGGTGGAATATTCAACTGTTAGAAGCAATACTAGACGCTGGACGAGCGAGGATGTTATTGTTTGTGCAATATTACATGAACTGAACAGTTTCAATATCTGGATACAATTCACATAGTATATACCATTCTGTCATTAATCATACTGCCATGATAGCACTCAAAATACCAACAAACCCCTCCATACCAGGCTTAGAAACATCGCAACAATTTATCCCACTCCACAACTACACTCCCTTCCAGACAAAGAAAAACCATCTAATAATCCCCCGTCGGCAACCCCCTAACCGGCACATACTGACCATGAAACCCAAACGCAACTGGCCCAGCCACCCTCGCCCTCCCTAGCTCCACCAAACTCCTCGCATCCAAACAAAGCAAATAACTCTTGCCTGTCAACCCATCCAACACCACACTAAGCAACACCCCATCATCCTCATTCTCATCCCCATCCACACCATCCGGATTCGGAACGAAGATCGGTTCTCCGGGCGACTGGGCATGATGGGACCATACCTTCGTTTCCCCGGACTCATTATCGAATTTGATGATGCTGTCGAAGAGCGTGGATTTGCCTGTGTCTGCGACGGCGTACATGTAACGGTGCTTGCGGGTTACGTAGGCCGGGTGCATGGTGGGGAGTTCGGGGGAGAAGGGTTTGCAGGAGGTGGATTCGAGGAGGGCTTCTGAAGGTTCTTGGGGGTTGGGGTTGGCTGTTGATGAAGTTGGGATACTAGGGAGTCGGAAGCGGGAGACGGATGAGCAAGTCTCGTCTGTTCTGGGCTTGGCGTGGGGAGAGTCGGAGAGGAGGTACTCGTAGTAGAGTTTGTGCATGAAGTCCGCGGTGTCGAAAGTGACGAGTTCGGCGACGATGTCGGTGTTGCCTTCCTGGGTTGTTTCCTGCCATGCGTTGATGGTGTGGAAGCAGAAGAATGGTCGGCCGGTGTATGTGGCTACGAGACCTCGTTCGCCGGTGCGGTCGACGACGTACCATGTTGCTGGGAGGGAGGGGTCGAAGGGTTTGATGGCGTCGAGGAAGCTCGTGGAGGTGGAGCCGAAGTCGGCGGGGGAGATGTGGGCGTTCCAGACGCAGAGGACGACGTAGTCTGCTGTGATGAGGAGGGAGTGTAGGTAGGCTGGAGTTGCGGGGAAGGATGCTAGGATGGTGGTTTCGTTGGTTGATGCGGAGGTGCGGAAGATGCGGTAGGTAGAGACCGGGCCAAGCTCCAGGTTGTAGTTGAAGATGTCGCCGGTCTTGGGGTCGGAGCGGGCGTGTGCGGCTGTGCTGGGACCTTTCAGGTCGGGGTGGAGGTTCTCTTGGCTGGCGAGGGTGATGGGTTCGAGGGTCTCCGGGTCGAGCTGCTTGAAGGCGTTGAAGTCAGTTTTTGCGTGCAGGGTTTTGATCCCGGAAGATGTGTCCCAGCGGTGATTGTTGGTTGAATTATCGGCGAGGCCTGGCATGTTGATGCTCAGAGTGACTCCGACATTGGCGGTCGAGGATGTGGGTTTCTCTTCGGGTTCGTACTCCGCCTGGACCTTTTGGTATACGACCTTGCAGGGATCTCGCTTTTGGCCGAAGCTGATTTTGTGCATCTCGCCGGTCTGTCTCACCTGCTCGATGAGAGCGTCGGTGGAGAAGCGGGAGTTGTACAAGACACGCACTGATGGGTGGGTGCTGTCAGGGGCTAGGAGCTGAAATCGGTGGGTTTCACTGAAGCCATCGAACCAGTGACTGGCGCGAAAAGTCTCTCCATTGACGGTATCGACCTTGTATTTGCCTGGTCCGGTGCGATAGAGGACACCAGCTGCATAGGCGGGAATCTTGCCTTCGACGGGGAGCTCGATGGGGGGTTTCTCCTCGTAGTTGGCATCGAACTGTGAGATCGAATGTTAGTGTTGAAGGTAGGAGTGTCAAGGAGGAAGACTTACGCCTTGGACATTAGGCCAATTGTTGAAGTGGTCTTCCACGCGAGTTTCCTGTATGGCGGACATTGTGTGAGCAAAGCGCTGAGAATCGCTGCGTGTGTGGTAAATTGAAGGTGGTTTCTGTTCGAGTGATTGATGATGAATTCAAGAAGAATAAGAGGTGGGATGCACGTACTATTTATCTGCCTGACTCCAGCGAGGAGTGGGTTGTGAGGTGGCTATGGTCAACCTTGTTGCAGCTCAAAGAAATTGCCCGAGCATAGCGGTGGGGGAATTCCGCCGGAGTTGGAGCTGTGATATCACCGTCTTGCTTACGGTGGGGGGTTGCCTGTCTCGCAGTAGTGTCCAAAAAAAGTAATTTCGCTGACCTGCATTTGGTATTATCCATTTTTCACATGCTTGATAGAATTCATACGCTGATAATAGCCACAAGCCCGCAATAAGCGCAAGAGCCTAAGTCCTTATATACAGTCTAATGATAGTAGTGATATAAAATGCCCTGCAATGCTCTATTCGCTGGTGTTCCCAAACTCCAAGTAGATGACTTATTCATCGATATACCACGCCTTTAATTGATGCCCCTGTTCGTAGAACAGCTGTGTCGATTCATCCCTCTGTCTGGACGCCATCGCGTAGTGCGCGAGCCTTTAGTCTCGTCGGATGGTCTGGATAGTATGGCTGGAGCCCTAGATCCCACGTGGGAAGTGCCAAATCGGGTATTGATTTTATGGGTTCGGGCTGCGATTGGTTGAAAGTCGGCGAAGGGGTGTGCTGGTTGCGCGGAGCCCCCCCGCTATCCTGCAGTCGCAAGTAAGTGCATTCCTTCCTCCGCGTGGCGCATTCTAAGCATGGCTGCCCCCCATCACAGGATTTCTTTAGCCTGGCGCAGACATCACATGCATGCCGTTCTTTGCCGCCTATTCGAGGTCCTGGGATGGCCTGACCGGCATGTATACGGGCAGAACAAGACTTCCAGTGTCGCCGCAAGACATCTCTTGACAAGCCTCCAACGTCAGTTCATGCATTGATCCATTATGCATAGCATACACACCCTCGTTTGTAATGAGAGCCGCAGAATCCGCACTTGAAAGGCTTCTGTGAGCTATCTGAGCGCCATTCATCAGCACCACCCACGGTCCTTGCTTCCAAAAAGTGTGTAAATCATACGGGTAGCTATATGTCGCTTGTGATGGTCTAAGCGATGGAAGAGTGCCGAGCAAAATTGACAACTCCATACCCCGTTCATGGCTCGGTTGTCGGTAGAGGCCTGCATAGTTGTGTAACCCACGAGGCTGGAGGTAAACAAGCAACGCGCTGTTGGTTGTAGCTGCATACACTAGGCAGAAATGACTGGAACCATGCGGGGTCGGAGCATTCGAGGGCTGCTTGCGACTGAGCTTGGAGCGGGAATCATCCACACCGGTGGGATCTGGGACCATTGATCTCCTGAGAGGAGGAGAAAAAGGAACGTAGAAAATCCAGGAGCGGAGCTGAGAAGGGCTCCGAGCGAGATGCCCCTCCCGGGTCAGCAATAAGCAGAGTGGAGGAATCCCGCAGGCTACCGAGCCAGTGCGGATTAGTGATGCGGAAGTGGAGGTGGAGGTGAGCCGAAGGATTGGAAACCCCGGCGGCATTCCCCCGCAGACCCGAGGCCGATTGGCCACATCGCGCCTCAGCCACCATGGTTTGTTCCCTGGATAGCGAATCCAGTCTCACGTGGTATATGTATTTCTTGCTAACATATATCGACTACCGATACCATATGGTTCAGTCCAGATAGTTCCGTCTATACTGGCATCGAGTAGCCATCCGTGGCAGATGATATCGTCATCTCCCTTACGATAGTTTGGCACGGGAAAAGCTATTTTCTTGACGAGCGAGTCGAACTCAACACTTTCCTCGTCTTTGGAATAGTATCTCTGCTTTCCCGACTCTCGTGATTTGTAGCAGTGAAAAAGTTGCCGTACAAAGCCTTTGTCATCCCCGAGATGGTCCTTGCCATTAACCATCTCAAACTCATCCGCTGAATCTGCAATGAGGAGCCGTTCAAGTGAGGGCAAGAAGTCAGTTGACTGCCAGCCAGACCGAACATCGCGATCCAAGCCAGAAGGTGCAACAAGGACCAGGTGTGTCAAATTTGAACATCGGCGGAGCCCCCCAATGAATTGCATGGATGTGACATCAACTTCGCACAGGGCAAGACGGCGCAGACGAGGCCATAGTGACCACACCGCTGGTTCATAATCCGCCTCCTCCAGCTGGTCGGAAGGGGTCTCCCAAATGTAGGGTAGCTTTTGCGTATCAAGGCAAAGGTCGTCTGCAGCTGAACAGAATTCCTCTAGTAGTGTCAAGCGCTTGAACGCTTCGCGTAGCATGGGGCGCACCTCCAACTCGGGGATTGACGGGTTATAGAAGCGCAGGGGTAGATCAATCACCAGCCTGGTCAAGCGGTGACAAAGGTAAAACGAGAGCGTTTCAATATCTCGCGCAACCGAGGGCCTATCGGGCTCCTCCAAAACCAGTACAAGGCCAGCTGCAGTACTTTTCTGTACTTGTGCCCCCGTATCATTTGGCCTTCGGTTGACAAGTTCTGGTGGCTCACATTCGAGCAGATGCCCCAATAACAAATCATCGTCAATCAGAAGACAGTGATTAATGAGAAGTCGTCTTGCGATCTGGCAAGTAAATCGCGAGACCAATGTCAAGTTGACCAAGGTATCGATTTCTCCTGAAAAGTCGGGATACGCCACCGGCGGATCTGGAGGGATGATAGACTCAATAATGAGTTGAATGATTTCAGGCGGAAGACGCATTGGCACCAAGGTGTCCCCGGCGATCTTGTCAGGTAAGTCTCAATGTGAAGCAACGAATGTTTTATAACTGATATTAGGAGGGACGATCGACAGAAACAGAGGGGAGAAGTTGTTCAGAGCAAAAGTCGATCTGGGCGAATGTCTCTCATGGATGTTGGCGGGGGGATGCTCGAATCCTTCTGTCCGGCAAGCAAAGTCAACAAACATGTGAAGGGCGTCGTGTTCCCCGGTCGCCGTAAAGCTATATAGAATAAACTGCGAGCATCGCGGGGGATCATAAATATCCAAGGGACTAAATACGCTGCCTAGTATAATCGACTCGGCAGAAAAATGGCCAGTTGTTGCAAAGATGCCCAGCTTCCTGGAGATCTGCCGGAGTCGTCCAGCCGGCCGATCTTGGCTTAGTGCCGGTACAGGTGATGGCTAAACCCGATCTAGCTTAGCGTGCTGTCTCCCCATAGCCACCAGTCCATCTTGTTATCCTATTTCTATATCTTCCCGTAAATACCTTTCGAACATCAGTCTAGAATAAGCTTTATTATACTTGTTATTATTATCAAGATTATTTAGCACATTACGGGAAAGGCCGTTATCAAGGATTATTTCCTGTCACTGCTCCCCAGATATATGCCGCCCAGCTTCCCATCACAAGCAACACCAAACCAGTGAAGCAGCAGATGGAGATCATTCTGCTACGCTGGTAGTGTGTCACCAAATGATGTTCCCGAAGCTTGCCGATGTACTCAGCCCCGGAGGCCATGCGTCGCTTGCGGGTCCATTGCAGAGGAGCAAGATCCCGACCGATAATGGAACCGATCAGGAGGACGATCGAAACAATCGCGCAACAGATGGCCAGAAAGAGGTAGACCCGCACGGATCGACGGTAGGAATCATTATCCGCATCTTGAAGTGCACCTGTAATGATGCCGATGATGATCGTCATCCTAAAGCCATTGGTTAGTCCCTGAATTCTCTATGTTCGTTTGGTTACTAAGGGGTCATACGCGTTGTTCATGGTAACCTTTAGTGCGTACGCAGAGCCAAAGACCGACTGATGCCAAAGAGTGGTACGGATGCCGTCGATGATAGATGTTGGACCCAGTGAAACCGCAACCGCGTACATACCGAATGCCGCGGCTGTGCCTTGTTTGGACTCGGCGAAGTTCACCAATACCATGGCGACAAAGATCCCCAAACCGCACACGCATACTGTGATAACTGTGAGTAAACTGTAGCTCAGCAGCATGAGTTAAGTACTTACGAACAGAGGCACGATGGCCTAGGATGTCAATAAAAACTCCCAAGCAGGGTACAAGGAAGAAACCTGGCTTGATTAGCGATATCTCTTGTAACGTAAAATCAGTTGATGACCTACCTGCATATTGGGCTAAAGAGCTGTACCACCCCGCCGTGATTGCATCGACATTGAATCTCTTCTCAGCTAACTCTGTGGCGTTCGAGCTGAAGACACTAGCTGTGCTAGTCTGGAACATTGAGAAGGCGAGAATAGCCCAGAACATCCACGGCAATTGGAACATCTTGCGGAGTTCGAACTTCTTGTTCTTTTCGGTCAGAGTTTCCTGGGTTGCCTTGTCTTCGCGACCACGGAAGTGTTTCTCGCAATAACGGTTGAACAGCCAGAAGAAGCAAGTTGCTGCGTTCGTGAAAAGGTTCATGAAGACGGATGTCCAAAAGACCCAAGCGAAATTACCGGTATTCTGTTCAGTGTCAGGATATTGAAAGGCTTTATCGTCGATAGTATGCATACCTTAGCGATGATGTTTGCTGTTGACTTCCCTACAAACCCTCCAATCTGTATCGGTCAGCTTCAATTCTTGCTGCGTATGGTGATCTGCTTACTTTGCCAATTGCCAGTTCAAAACCAAGGGTCGAGGCGAATCCATTGCTTGGAGGAAACCACGACGAGAACATCTTGTACTGTGCCGTTTGGGTAGCAATGTCACCCAGGGAGAGGATGATCCTTCCGCCGACCATGAACTTGAAGGATCGAACTGTGGTTGCAGCGGCCACTAGTATGGAACCAATGGTATACACGATATTGCCATAAACAATCATGCCTGTGGCAGGTTAGAATCTGCAAACTGAGAGACACATGTGTGGTATGCTTACGAGCACCTCCTACTCTGTCGGTCACAATACCACCCGGTAGAAGAAGGACGGTAGCCATAAAGTTCTCACTGGCTTCAAGTAACGAGAATTGGGTATTCGTGATGTGCATTTGCTACACCGAAGGTCAGTAACATCTCCAGTGTTGAAAGCATTGTGTAATTACCTTTTTCAGAGTACTCTTCATCGCTCCTACAACGCCGCTGCTCCAGTGAGACCCGAAACTAATGCAGGAAATGACAAATACGGCGATCAGCTTAGCGAGCAACGGTGGCGGCCGTTTTCCATTTGCATTGTCCATTACTGTGTTGTCTGTTGAATGAAACGAGTCCGAAGAGGTAGGCTCTGCAGTTGTAACCTCGGTGACTTTCTTGTCGGTCGCCATATTGCAAGGCGAGGGTAGATAAACCACCAACCAGTCGTTTTCAGGCTCACGTTTAGTCTGATGATATAAATTGGCGGCCTTTGCAGTCGTTCCTGTTTGCAATAATACCCAGCAAAAGTTCCGTCGCACAAGAACAAAAGGCGGGCAGCGAAGAAAGGAATGGATCCACACAGTCTTTATAGGAATGCCAGCAGCAGGGAGCAAGCTTGCTCAGACAAGCTAAAGCTTCTTTTCTCACCGATCGGACCCATGGTGCCAAGGGTTTACCATCAGATAAGATGCCCGTGTTTCTCCGACAGTCGCAAAAGCATCCCTTTCGAGGAAAGCCGCCCGTCTTAGGATTGCGATATTAGGCTTGGCATCTGTGAAAACCTCGATGTGCTGGAGCATGTGGTGTGCTAATATTATTGAAGCTGTGGCAGTAGTCTGCTTTCATTGGCCATATCCTGCTCATCGTGACTGATTGATAAGATTGGTGCCGTGATATGACCCACTCCGCGGACAGGTTCCGTAAGGGAAAAGCCATGAAGGGAGGCAAAAACAATGGTTTGCCAAGCCTGTTCCGCTGCTCGATGTTAATGACTAGGTCTCAAGCTCGTAATGGTGCCCACTCAGTGCGCGGATTCCCTGAGAAGAGCGCGCCGTCCGCTCAGTCTGCCTCTTCCCCCGATGATCAAAACCTGTCGCAGGCCTGTTGGGATCCAGACTTAGGTCTCCGGTCTCAACATGCGTGCTCTGTCTTCAGATATCATGTGTGTGTTGATGCTTGCCAGTCTTTCAACGCTCAAGCTTTCGCCATTCATGGTTCTTGCCTATGACAGGAGACCCTTCCGCCAAGCTACAAAATTTTAGCCTATTTGATGTGTCCGCCATGTGCATTCAGGATTAAGTATTAAGGTTAGTTGGAATGCTCCCCACCATAGCACGTGGAATCATCACCAGTCGAAACTCGGAACAAACAGGTGAAGAATCTTTAGACGTAATTACTTGCTCAGCTTGCTCGAGTGGGTTGTTCCACCTTCCAGGGACCACGTCGTCGGAGAACTCAACCTCCGAATAGTGGGGACAATGACACAGGATAGGGACTAACGTCCGATCCAGGAACCCGATCGGAAGAATGAGATGCAAACGGCCAAGGATACTTAACGGACCAATAATTGATGAAAACTGGTTTCTCTCGTTCAGAAGATGGGTAGTGGTGCCAGGCACCAATATGTCCTTTGTCCTTCGAATCTTCTTCCAGATTTAAGAGGCCTCCTCTTCATCCCCCACGTCGACAAAGGACAATGTCTGTCGTAGAGTGCCTACCGATGCTTAGAAAAATGAACATGATAACATCTGCTGGGTAACTCCGGACAAGTCTTTCACATACTATATTCACAGATCAGCGGTAACTGAAAATGCATTACTTCACGCCAGAATGAGGCAAAGGCACCAGCAAAACTAATGATGAAGATAGCCCTGCCGGCCAGTTCAAAAGTCAGCATTTTGAATTGTACCGCCATGAAAGACCTACTGTGAAGATACCTTCCAAGGCCTATATCGTCGCCTGCATGATGCTAAGTGAAAATAAGTAGACCTGAGCAGGGATGCGTGAAATTTCCCGTTGTGTACGGGAAGTTCCATCAAGAGAAACTCTCCCACGCAGGCTCATCCTCCAAGGAACCACCCACGCCCATATAAACCGCCTCGAGAAGGTCTGACGCTAGTTGATAGATGCTTTTCGTAGCATAACTTTACGCTTCTCAGCCTAGGAACTTCCCATTCCTTCTATAACAGCCGACACCCTTGTACTTACCATTTAAGCGACTTGCCACTTGAACAATCCTTATTAGTTTCTCTGGGCACCAGAGGTCTCCCCCCTCGCTATCGAAGCCCCAGACAAGAAAAGGTATCATTCGTCCTCAAGATGACGTTCGAACGACCCTCCTCGCCCCTTACCATTGACGGCGGGAGGCTTGTATGTCGCGAACACCTCCTCGTTATCTGCGCTATGTGCTGCGTGGATTACAGCAAGATGAGAGAGGACATCGAGATGTGGGAAGCGGGCGATGACTATAATAACCATGTCGTTCAGGACATCCAAATGGAAGAAGCGGGCGATGCTTATAATGACAACAACAGTTCTACCAAAGCCACCAGAAACGAGAGACAACAACCCTCGATGAACCCCCGATCAATGAAGATCGATGAGCCAGACCGAAAGTCCAACAAGAGACATAAGGGTCGACACGGCAAGGAAAGCCGAATACAGCCTGTCTTTCCCCCGAGATTCCTCCCTCCAACACCAGAGGATACTCCACGATCACTCTTCAAACCTCTCGTTTTCGTATCAGAGGGCAGGCCTTCGATACGCCGATTCGTTAGAAGAGAAAACCACTACCAGTGTCTGGTATATACAGCTGGCGCTTGCTATGATAATTGGAAGGGGGATGGGAACTATGCCAAAGCTGGCTGGTCATTCGTATACAGACCACAGAACCCATCACGCAACATCACTGGTGGGGTTGCTGGTCGCCTCGAGTTGATGGGACCGACTAGAGTCTATCATCAACAGACGAGAACTCGTGCAGAGCTGCGAGCTGTGATTGCGGCCTTGAAGTATCTGTCTCATGACGGCAATACGTTTGACAGCGTGGTTGTCGCCACGGACTCAAGTTATGTTGTCAACAATGCAACAATTTGGATCCGCAAATGGCTTACAAGGGATTGGAAAAATGCTGGTGGCAGACCGATCAAGAATAGGGACTTATGGGAGGCGTTGCTGAAGGAGGTGAGGTGTTGCTATGTGCAGGGAAGAGATGTCTATCTGTGGCACATTGATAGGTTGCTAAATCAGGACGCGGTTAGACTGGCTAATTGGGCAACTGTACCTGACTCGGCTCCTATTGAGTTCGTGGAGGAGTTTCCTCCTTCGTGGTGATCGATTATGTGGGGATTTTATCTACGGTTCTATCGTAAGCCATGCTTCTCTGGACGTCAGTTTCGGTAATAATACTCTTTTTTTTTCTATTGATCTGCAGTTATCATTGTAGTATATACAGAAACGACCGGCAATAGCAATCTTCAATTACAATTCTAACATGGGCCGAGCCCATCAAGTCCAGGAACATTTTCTCAGCAATTTCGTCGAAGTCTTGAAAACTCAAGGGAACGCACAGGGAATAGGTTGGACACGGGGTTTGCACCAAACAACTGCTGTTTCGTAGCGGCCATCATCGTAGTAGTGTCCATAGAAACAACCGGCAATAGCAACCTTAAATGAAGATGCTAACATGGGCAGAGCCCCATCAAGTTCACGAGAATCTCTTCAGCAATTTCTCGAAGTCTTGGAATCTCGAGGGATAGTACAGTGAATGGGTTAGACACAGGGATTCCACCAAACAACTGTTGTTTCGTAAAGCAGATAGATTCTTCGATGGGTAGAGGATCGGGTTTCGGAAAGACGGCCTATTCATCCAAAATCAGTAAACTTGACTTAACAAAGAAGTAGAAATGTACCTACCAGCTCACGAATAAGGAGGCTACCTGTGTTTCCCCGTCCCCAGACTTCAATAGATCCTTTGACCTTGTTGTTACGCACCTTGCTCCACTTCAAGAGTATAACATATTCCACTTCAACTGTGCCGCCCAACCACAAGTCCTTGTCTATTCGGAGACGCGGAAAACTTTCGGACCATCCTGATTCAATCACAACTGATGGCGCTCTATCGGTACGGGCGGAAAGGTATAGGTCTGGCTCTTTCGACGAAGATGTGTAAGCACCGATGAATCCTTCAAATCCTAGATCTTTTCGTCAGAACAATTGAGTTATTAGGTATTCTAAGACTTACTCGTTCCCACACCGAAGGCAATCTTGCGACGTTCACCCTTCTTGACCAAGCCGTTATAAGCCCAATCCAACATGGCGGACATAACCCACTGCTGGTGAGCGTTATGGAGGAAGTTCGGCATAACACGGATCCACAGGTTTTTTCAACCGAGTTGAAACTGACTCTAAAGCAGGAAATCGTTGGTAAGCTCATATGTATACTTATCTGCGAGCTTACCTAGAGCTTCTTCTCTCGATTTCTGGATGTTCTGCCAGTGTCCTAGCGACGAGCAAACCGTCCTCAGGCTCAACTTCTTCGTACGTTAACTCGGTATACTCAACCGTTGATGGAACGAACTTGACGATTTCAGCGACTATCTTTTGGGCTACTGGTCGAGGAAGCTTGACACTGAGGGGTGGCTCCGGAGAAGGAGAGCGTGCAAGAACTCCTGGTGCCATGGTAGACGAGGTAGACATATTCTGAATAGATGATAGATGAAACGAGGTTGGGAAGATGGATGGCAATTTTCTGGGGAGGGAAATAAGTGAGGGGAGAAGGAAGGAACAAGTTGCTCGATGAGGTGGGAAGTCTGTCATCAATACAGCCAGTCAAGCACATCATCTAAATGTAACCACTTCGCTATTCACTTTCAACCCGGTTTCTCCACCTTTCTCTACGGTGCTACATGAATCCCTGTTTCTCTTGATGTCAAGTCTGGTCGGGCTTGTTTACGGTGGGCTAGTCGTGTGGATCCTTAAAATGAACGAACACATAGGCGTTTAATGATGATATCTTCTGCTTTAGGAATGCAAGGCCATCCTCTCCAATCAATCTGGTGACTAGTAGTTACAACATAATGCAGATACCCAGCTGCTAAAATGGACTTTGAAACCAACGTGATGACTTACGCCCATCATGCTCGTACTCCTTTTCCTTCCGCCCTTTATCCTTCTCCCTTCGTTCCTTCTCTTCCCTCTGATCTTTCTTCTCCCTCCGCTCTTTCTCTTCTCGCATTCTCTGCATTTTTTGCAACTCATTGTACTGTTTTCCCGTTTTCTGCAGTTGTTGTTTCTGGATCTCGATCGCCCGCTCATTTGCTTCTATTAGACTAGACTGCAGTTGTTGGATTTGTTTCTGATCATCCATAATTATCTTTGCAGAAATTTCGGGCTTTTCTGAGTCACCCACAGAAAGCTCGGGGTCACCATATTTGACTTTCTCCCCAGACAGTTCTTGAGCTGATATTTCGAGATCCTTACGGCGGCGATCTAGTTGCTCGAGTCTCATCGTGGCTTCATGAATATCACTCTGAATGTCCTTGACGGCCTCCTCGTCCCCTTCCCCTCTTGCTTCATCCAGGCTCTGCATGAGCGAGGAGTGCTCCCTCTCGGATCTCTCCTTGGCTGTCTGCAGCTCAGCTTGGATATACTTACCAGCTTCGGTCTCGTCCAGTCGCAAGTTATGAAGCGCGAGTTGTCTGACAATCTGCAGATCGACGCCCCCCCCAAGATCGCAAATGAGATCCAGGATCTCCAAAGCCGACTCTTTAGAGCCCTTGTGTCTCATACACAGACTACCGTGATCAATCAACGGTCCCCAAAATTGGGGTTGCTTCTGCAATTCGGCTTCCCTTCGCTCACCAACTTGCTGCTCCACTTCGCTTGGTCCGAGTTCATTCCACATGTTTGTGACTAGAACAATTCGATGGTAGTTTTCGATCCCGCAGAGTGCTTGAAACATATGGAGGTTTTTTAAAGCAGCTCCTCCGATCCGCGGATCAATGATGCGGTGCAAGTATATCACACCGGCCAGTTTCCAGCCCTTCTGGCGCCAGTGGACCAGGGAAGAAGCAATTTCTTTGAGAATCTCAATGTCAGAGCGATTTGTATCGTTGAATCCAGGAGTGTCAAGAAAGAACAATCTATCTCTTGACGGGTGTCTGACACGGTACATCTTGCAAATAGTGGTGCCTGGACTAAAGTCAACCTTCTACCAGGAAAGTGGGTGATCACCCAGCTGATAACTCACATGAATTTAAACTGTCACTGATTGCAACATGCTCATCGGCCAGTAGTGAGATGAACGTGCTTTTCCCTGAGCCAGTTACCCCCATGACAGGAACAAAAAGGCTTTCTTCCTCGCCATCGATAGGCTTTGGCCGTTGAGAAGTCATCCGGTCCGACCCCATCGTTTCCAGGTGATACAAATCTCCTTTCCCCTGGCGTTCAGACTTGTTGGTATATCAGTTACCCGTGTGTTCGCAAATATTGCTATCCTAGCTTCCGGACTCGGGTATGAATAGCTCTTCAGGACTCGGATGTCGCCATTGCAGTCAGGTGCGGGCAAGTGTTCAATCATGATATAGCTGCCCAAGAAAAGGCAAGGATAAGAAAATGCCAATGGGTAAAGTGACATGGCATGACGTGGCAGTAACCGAATCACTTTCGTTCGCAGCCTGACCATTTCGCGGCTGGACTACGAGCCCCGCAGCTCTGCATATGGATGCCTTAACCACGGCAAGATCAGCGGCATGAGAAAGGTGATATTGGCGACCCCTGGTCTTGAAAACGATATTAAGCTGGGTTGTCTTCTGAACTTGCTACCAAAGCGCTATTTTGGAGTTCACCATCTTGCCTAGTATTTGGATTGAGCGCACAGAAGCCATTCTTAGTTTCAAGTTACACCAATTCCTATCACAGAGGCATTGAAGCTCGGTGTTCATCCGGTCGGGTAAAACAAGATGGCACTCAACACTCAAGAGATAACCCTAAAGTATGTGGACCCTTAAAGCCTGGAGGGGGTGGGCCACCCTAAGCCAGCATTTAGAAGGACAGAATCACTGACTGACACTCCACTTTCCCCCCTTCTCTTCACAAACACAGACCGAATGACCTTGTTATTGCGGTTATGGGAGTCACGGGCGTGGGGAAGAGCACATTTATTTCATACTTTAACTCAGATGCAACCACCGGTGATAGTTTGATCTCTTGTGAGTAATGGACCAGCTGCATTATCATGTCCATGTAAACCTAGAAGGTCTCTTTCCCTAACCATATGCTGCGAGATAGGCACCACTACCGTCGGGGTGTATCCCGCCACGATCGACTCCCAGGACATTTATCTCGTTGATACCCCCGGCTTTGACGATTCATTGCGTCCCGATACCGAAATTCTACGAGAAGTGGCGGATTGGTTGAATCAGACCAACCAGGCCAACATCAAGCTTGCAGGTATTGTCTACCTCCATCGAATCTGTGATACCCGCATGTCCGGCGCAAGTGCGAAGAGCTTGCGGCTGTTTAAGAAGGTCTGTGGAGAGCAAGGCCTTCCCTGTGTCGTTCTTGCTACGACAATGTGGCACCAACCGCCCACCGACCTAGAGGTGGCACGAGAGCAGGAACTGAGCTCCAAGGAAGGGTTTTGGAAAGAGATGGTGGAGAAGGGTAGCGAGATCCGGCGCCAAGATGATGGGAAAGTCTCGGCAACCAACATTATTGAATATATTTTGAAGCGGCGACACCAAATCACGTTACAGATTCAGGATGAAATGGCAGAGGGCAAGAAGCTAGACGAGACGGCGGCCGGTCGGGAAGTAGACGCCGACATCGTGAAGTTGAAGAAGCACTACGAGAAGGAGCTGGCTGACTTGCGAAGAGAATTGCGCGAGGCGCAGGATAGAAACGATGTGCGGACTCAGAAGCAGATCATGGCGGAGCGGGCTGAAACAGAAAGGAAATTACAGGAACAGGAACGGAAGCGAGATCAGCTTCGAGTAAGCATGGAAGAGCTTCGGAGACAACGAGATGAGGAGATGCGTGAGCACCGAGAGATGGCGTTACAGCAACAGTTGGATCACCAGCGAGCAGTTTTGAAGCAAGAGAGCGACCTTCACGAGCTGAGACTTCGCAATGAGTATGAAACAAAGTTGGTCCAACAGGCCTATACAGGTCAGATCACTCGGCTCGAGGAAGAGCTGGAAATGCTGAAGTCGCGAAAGGAAAGGCGTGGATGTGTGGTCATGTAATTCCTACAGCGATCTCATTTCTTTGTTCTTCTCTTTATTCAATTTCGTCGAATCTACCGATGCCATATAGAACCACATAGGCCAAAAGATTCCGGGCTTCTGTTAGCATCCTGGTGTGACACGCTGATTGTCCTCTACTGATTTCCCATACAAAGTCTAGTCCCCTGCATAATTGCTCTATCACTCCACTTCTCGCTAATCCAAGTCGGACTACTGAGCATGAGACAGTGCGTAAAAAGGTGGCATACAAATGATGGTCATGATTCAGAGACAGCCTCGTCTGACTGGTACCCAATCTACCCGAGATTTCCGTGAGTTTCCTGAAATACTTTTTTTCCCTTTAACGTTCAGGTGCGGGGTATAGTATAGTACTGATCTGAAGCATCTTGCTCCCATGTAGGAGTCTTGAGATAACTAGTCCAAACTTTATTGGTGGTTGACCCCACCCGACATGTCTTTGCAGGGCGTTTCGGAACACCTTTTCAATCTTTACACATTGCTCCCATGGCCACGTCAGGCGGTTAGGGATCTTCCCTTTTGCCCATGCACCTATGGCAACAATATGAATGGGCACGTTCAAGCCCAACACAGGCCGTCCAGTTGCGAGCAATGACCCTTCCCGTACGTCGGCCCAACATTCAGCCTTCGCCTCATCTGTGAGCGTGATATACTAGCCTCAGAGACATTACTGTTGCTTGAAAGTTGGAAGACTGAGTTGTGTTTGAAAGCTATAAGCTACTGGATTCTCTACCTTGGTTAGCCAAAGGTTCGGGGCCAACGTGGGACATCATCACACACATACATACCCGAGTTGAGAATCTGTGCTACTTTTCTAACGAAATACCATCCCCAAAATTGAGGAGAGCCAACTACGATAGAGCAGGCTTCGAATAAAGCGATTATCTGATAACATAGGTCATTTCGGTACTCTGGAACATGTCGAAGTTGACCATGGAGGGCTTTACACGTGATAGCTATACGGTAGGATGGATTTGCGCATTACCAAAGGAGCTCACCGCAGCAGCGGCCATGTTGGATAAACAGCATCCAAACCTTCAGAAACCTCAGAATGACACCAATAACTATACTCTCGGCAGTGTGGGAGAACACAACGTTGTCATTGTATGTCTGCCTAAGGGGGGAATTGGGACAAACTCCTGCGCGACCGTTGCAACTATTATGCTCCAAACCTTTCCCAACATCAAGTTCAGCTTCATGGTCGGTATTGGAGGTGGCGTACCTGAGCAAGTCCGCCTCGGCGACGTAGTAATCGGCACCCCGGCCGATGATCACTCTGGGGTTGTGCAATGGGACTCCGGGAAAACGGAACAAGGACAGTTCAAGAGAACAGGAAGCCTTAACCGTCCCCCGAATGAACTCCTCACCGCTGTTTCAAAGCTCGAGCAAGAACATCTGACCAATAAGACGAAAATCCCTCGATTCTTGGACCAGATGAAATATGACCACCCAAACCTGCAATCGGGGTATCTTACGTCGGCGAATCTGGAGGACGTGCTCTTCCGGGCGGACTATGGGCATGTCAATAATGGTAGCAGTCAGAATGGCCAGGGCTGTGAATCCTGTGATCGAGCATATAGTATTCAACGAGAACCTCGCCAAATGAAGGTCCATTACGGTCTTATTGCCTCCGGAAATCAGGTGATAAAAGATGCAAAGTACCGGGATGAAATCAACGGAAGGTTTGATAACAAAGTCCTGTGCTTTGAGATGGAGGCAGCTGGTGTGGGAAATAACTGGCCATTCATCGTCATTCGAGGAATCTGCGACTATGCAGACTCGCATAAGAACAAACAATGGCAGGAGTATGCGGCTTCTGTCGCTGCTGCCGCAGCAAAGGAACTTCTGCTGACGGTGCCTACTTCGGCTGCAACACTTCTACCCCCGATGATGACAAGTAAGGATGTATACCAATAGAGGTTAATGGTTGTTCTATGTTCTGACCGCAACTTCTTCTATTACAGAGATGTTGAGTTCCGGGTTTGACCTTGTGAAAGGTATGTTCACAGAATTCATTGCAGGAAGCGACTACCGATGGGAATTATTTCTCACTGTTAATTAGGCTTCTTCAAAACCGGCTTGAGGGGCAGTGGGCAATTGATAGATACGCAACAAGGTCCCAATAATAATAATCCCTCTGAACTACAATATGAGAGCAATGAAGCCGAGCGAAGTACAGGTAGCCTTGGTTCCACTGATGAAGATCAACATTCGCCTCAACCAACTCCAAGCTCCACTTCATTACCAACTGCGAATAAGGGCACTGTTCGTGACCAAACATCCCGTGAGGCAAAGCCAGAGATATTCGATGTGTTCATTGGTGTCATGGGAATGACAGGAGCCGGAAAGAGTACATTCATATCTCTCGTCACGGATCAGGAGGTGGTGATAGGGAACGATCTAAAAGCCTGTATGAAGCAAATCCTTATCCACGGAAACAACCTGGTGTCCGCAGCTAATCTTTGTCTGGAATGGTGGCAGGCACCCAGAATGTGACTATGTACCGCTGTAAATTCAGTACCTCCTGCAACATATGGTTGATCGATACACCTGGGTTCGATGACACAAACCGAACAGATAGCGAAGTTCTAAAAGAGATTGCCGGATGGCTCGCCGAATCCTTCTCCCAGAAGGTTATTCTGAATGGCATCCTGTATCTACATCGGATCATGGACAACCGGATGCCCGGCTCAGCCAAACGAAACCTCTTTATGCTGAAGAAGCTATGTGGTAAAGATGCTTTGAGGAATACCATCTTGGTCACTACTATGTGGGATCTTGTCGACCCGGCCGACGGTGACAGGAGAGAGAAGCAACTGATTACCACCCCAGAGTACTGGGGAGATATGATTGCAGCAGGCTCACAAAACCTTCGGCATGACAATACCTATGAGTCCGCAATGCGTCTAATTAATCTCTATGCGGGTTCCCATTCAACCAAAGAGAAGAAGGTACTCGCTATTCAGCATGAAATGGTAATAGAAAAGAAAGCCTTGGATGAGACAGACGCTGGAAAAGCGGTTGAAGACGCATTAATCAAAGAACGATCTAGATGGAGACACTCCGGCCTCAGGCCTCACTGTGGAAGCCGAAGCCCATATCTGATCAGGTCTATCAGTAGAACCTGTGTTGGGAGAAGCCACCAGCTGGGCTTTCGACCGCATCCTGTCTGGCGAGACCAACGTCAAGGGATACCTGCTCATGTAATTCCTGTATGCCCGGATTGTGACACCCCTAAAAGGTCGGAACAAAGAACTAGCTGTAGAGAAACACCAATCAACGACGGAGACAGACAGACTGTGCGTAGCGGTTTTGCAACATCGTATGCTGTCCAAGATGGGACAGAAGCATGGACTTGAAATGGTGTCATTGGGGACACCGGTGGAAAGTGGGGATGATGAGTTAATAGCAAGATTCTGGCTGGATTCGCTACTGGATGAATAGAAGTTGACTCCTACACAGGGAAGTTCTGACCTATTTGAGCTAGGCGAACCTGGGTCTATGGATGCACTGTCGTACGACGTCATTTTTTGGACTCTTGTAATGCCCTGCACACCAAACAGCAATTGCCTAGCCAGATGTATCCTACAACCAGTTGCATGATACATACACGCTGGCATAAAACCGAAGTAGACAGGCAACGGCCTTGCTATCGTCTCACATACACCAATACCTCATCGCAAATATCATACATTACTGCTTTCCCAAGCTCTCGCCCAACTCCGCAGCTCTGTCCGTCGCCGCCTTAACCGCCTGATCCACGATATCCGCAAAGTTCAGCTTCTCAAAAGTCTGCAACGCGGCATACGTCGTGCCATTCGGGCTAGTAACATTCTTCCTCAGCTGAGCAGGCTCATCATCCGACTCAACCAGCATCTTTCCAGCACCGAGACAAGTCTGCGCGGCCAGCCTCGTAGCCTGCTCCTTAGTCAAACCCAGAGCCGTCGCACTAGCAACCAGATGCTCAACCATCGCGAAGAAATACGCCGGACCGGATCCTATCAAACCAACTATTAGCCTCATCCCACCCCTCCCCCAAAACCAAACCCCAAAGAGAAAAAGAAGGAGAACCACATACCAGACAACCCCGTAACCACATCCAACAACTCCTCCCTATCCACCCACTCCGTAACCCTACTCACACTCGCCAACAACGCCTCCACCAACCCCTTATCCTCCTTCCCAACCTCCACTCCAGCAAACGCACCACTCGCCCCCTCCGTCACCAACGCCGGCGTATTCGGCATAACCCTGACCACCGGGGCCACCTTCCCGCCCTCTACACTCAACCACTTCTGCAAACTCTCCAGCGTAATCCCCGCAGCAATGCTCACCACAATCGGGAACTTCGCTCTCGCCGTAGCCGTCCATTCTTGACGGAGTTCCTCGCACACCGTCTTCGCGACTTGCGGCTTCACAGCCAGGATGACGACGTCAGCGGAGGACGCCGCCTCGGTGTTGGATGTCGTGACGTTCACGCCCAGCGCGGCGATCTTGTTCCGGTTCACTTCCCATGGCTCGGAGACGTGGATGTTGCTCGCGGGCACGGATTGGCGTAGTAGTCCGGAGATGATGGCCGAGGCCATGTTGCCGCCGCCGAGGAAGGCGAGGGTGCTGGTTTGGAGGGTGGGCATTTTGATTATTTTCTTTTTGCCTCTGGAAAATGGGGTTGAGGTGTTCGTGGAGGGTTGGTTTGTGAGGTGGATGGGTCAATTGAGGGGTGATGGTGGTGATGATGGTAATGGGAGGGGTAGCTCGGTGGGTGAGGGACAGACACGTGATGTTGGTTGCCCCACTAGCTAGCTAGCTAGCTTATCGCGGGGTTGATATGATATGATTAGTCATGGTGATCTATAACTAATTAGATTTGATTATTATTGATTTGGTGATTTGGTAGCTATTCAATGGGTTTTACAAATCGAGACTATGTTGAACTAATCTATGATATTCACTTGTTGTCCATTTTTGATGTTTTTTCACGGTCATCAGAACTTGACAGGTCTGGTATGAGCGGAATGTACGAACTTTAGTGATGACTCCTATGCTTCGAAATCCCAGAAACATGATCTTCTTGTGGAACTGAACATCGTAGACCATGCTATTATGATCGCGACATAAAATTCGGGATACATAATTATTACACAAATCATCTGTAAGTGTATAAGAATAGTAGTGTCCTGTCTGCGATGGCGTCTTGAACCTCGCTTGTCTCGATCTGCAGCGAGCTAGTGGTTACCAGATGCTGGCCTGCTTATGGTTGCACAAATACCGGCTACCGGTGAATTTTGAAGCAATATCGGGTTATTCTGGTGGTTGATCTTTAATGGATACTACGGCATGTGGTCCGTCACAGGACAGTCTAGACTCGACATGATAGATTGTCTCTAGATGTAAGGCGTCCTAGAATGAATGCACTAGTCAACATTCTTATATCATGAGTCCTGGGTACAGAGGCGTGATGTCGCAAGACTATGCTGTTCGTAATTCGCGGTTCAAAAGATATTGTAGGGGACTAGCATCAGCTTGTATGACTCTCTCGGGGGTTCTGAGTTGATGGTGGAGTGAGAAGAGATGCGAATATTGTGTTAGTATCAAGCTCAAATCCTTGACAAGACGATAGATATTGTCGTTTACCGAAGAAGGAATACGAAAACCGGGGTTGGGCTTGTCTTCTTCCGTTGCTGTCCCGAGTAGGTGGTTCCTTTGACTCACTCATTTAGTGACTATCATCGAACCCACATGAGACCTGTCTGTCTCATTCAAGTGCTCTAGTCTAACCCCATTGCTGGCTGTGTTCCAGCATGGCAATCTGAACCTTATGAATGTACATGTTCCGATTCTGTAGCCACTGGTCTAGCCACCGGCTCTGTTTTCTCTTCATTTCCTTGTCTCACGTCGGCATCTTTCCCGTCAAAAATACCGGCTATATGCTCGAGGCTATATCCGCGAGTCTCTGGGTAGAAGAGATAGGCCGAGAGCCAGTATCCGGCCAACACGGCCACGAACACAAAGTAGTATTTCCAGTCGATGGCCGAAAGCGCGATTGGGTTGACAAACGTGTTGAACACCGTACATCCAATGGCAGACAACCATACCATACTGAGCCCCTGTGAACGGAAACTGAAGGGCCAGATCTCACATGGGTATGCAGTGAGCATCGGTGTTCTATCAGTAAGCATCAGCCCAGTCATACATCAATAGGAAATGATCGCAATAGTTGGACAGTATTCTAGCATGAGATCACCTACAGCGCGATATCATATCCCAAGAAATATACAAAGAGGAATGGGATAACTGCAATGCCAACTGGACCCTTGCCAGTGCTGGCAAAGGCGCCTGACAAGGCAGTGATGAGGATGAAGGCTGCCAGCATGGTGCTGGCCGAGGTTATGAACAAAACCCGCCGACCGACTTTTTCGACCAGCGAGGCGCCAAGCACTGCGAAAAGAATGTTCCAGACTTGCAGGCAGGCTGAGATCAATAACTGGTCGCGCGCGTGTGTAATCCCGACAGACCTTAAGATCATAGAAAGGTAGTAGGAGACTACCCCGTTGCCCGACAATTGTGCAAATGCCCCCAGCGTAATGGTAATGAAGAGCCGATGGCGGTCTCCCGGAGTCTTGATCACGTTTAGGTACCCGGCTGAAGCAGCCGCGCTGTGCTCCGCTTGAATTATCTCTTGGATATTCTGGACCTCATACACAATAAGAGGGGCAGTAGTATCACCACCAGTGTGCAGCTCAGCTAGAACTGTACGGGCTTTCTCGATACGTCCCCTAGATATCAACCATCGAGGACTCTCTGGGATGAACGCAAAACCAGGAACGGCAATGAGAGGAAGGAGCATTTGTAGAAGAACGGGCAATCTCCAAGCCCAGGGACCGTCATACGCTTGTGTTGCGAAGGTGGCCCAGGCTGCAACAGCAGCTCCAAAGTAATAGCCGACCATGTAGAGTGCACCGAAGACACCACGATGTGCAGGGTAGGCAATCTCACTGAGTAGGATAGGGGCCGCATTGCTTACCCATCCCATACCACAACCAATCACGGCACGAGACGCAGTGAAGATGTTGGCGGACGACGCAGCCGTACCCATTACGGTACCAGCTAATAGGAAAATAACCCCAATCCAGACTCCTACCCGCCGTCCGTATCGATTACACGCCCAGGCAGCAACTGGGGTGGATACCAAAGCCCCAATCCAGTACACAGCACTTATGAAGCCAAGCCAAGTGCTGGATGGCCTTTCCATGAAGTTGACCCATTCTGGCATAGCCTGCAGGCCATTGATCAAAGAGCCATCGTACCCGCCCGGAGACGCTATGGGTGCTCAGTTAGTAACCATCGAGGCAAATTTATGGAACGTAGCGGCGTACAGAAAAGGGATAGAACGCCCATAAAGAGACTGACCCTGCGAAGGTGAGGACTGCGCCACCGACTGACAACTGGCAAAACCGAGCCCAGTTGTTGTTCGCTAGATTCTGCCGCCACAAGGGTGCTCATGTTGATACGACGGCAAAGGCTTCGATCCAGAAAGGTGCTATCAAAAGCCACTGATTAGATACTCACTGGATCTTATAGTTACGTCGATGTCCAACGGAGCAAGGAGTCAGGAGAAAAGAGCCGGCAGGATATTTCAGTATGACTTTATGGCGCTGAACAACATGGTGTCATGGTGAACCATGCCCGAAAATGCCCGACTAAACACCTGGGCTGGGAAGGCGCGATTGATTGCAGCATTGTGTCATGGAACCCTTGATGGCTGTTGATGGTACCCCAGACGTGGAATAGGTTCTTTCTGGGGCCTACATCGAGGGGAAACACTCCCGCTTCACCTCTGGTGACCACATACCTGTACAGGGTAGTTCCTTCCACGGGAAGGAGCGACTAGATTCCTATCCCTAATCAAGTTGCAATGTCGGAATAATTTTCAGCAGAATGCTGCCTCACACCGGAAGCTGCCCATGGACGTACCGTGATCCTTCCACGGCCAGACTTGTAGGTTAGCCCGGCAAGGGGGTGTATGCGATCTGTAATCACGGAATAAATTGCCATTTGCTTTTGGATATTGAATTATGCTGTAAACAGTCGGCCGTTCGGTTGAATAATGACGTCCCCATCACTTCTGCTGCCGTTTCAACAATGCATGTACCATTAAGGCAACCCACACCAGATGTATTGTCAAATCTCTTAACCCAACTCGGTGTAACTTCTATTGGGCGCCGGTGTCAATAAACAGTTCAACACCATCACACTTTGTATCTCCAATGCTGTATGGGGCTGTCTTACTATCATACGGAGCACTACCATCCCCCTCTCCCTTTGAAAAAATACCACAAGCGCTGTGAGGCTCTGTGTGTCTCATGCTGAAACCTTGGTTGAAGCTGGAAGAGAGAAGGGGTGAACGATCCGCTTTACATGGTTTCCGCTGGTCTTGACCATTCCGCAAACCGGGGAACATACATCCAC